ACATTCTATTTCTGTCATAGACATCCTTATGCAACTATAGGAAAGTCAAAGCTGCTTTGTGCTTCAATTTCCTAGCTGCAAAATGGGAATGTTTATATATACTCCTCCATTACAGGAGCGTAGTGAGGCTTTCTTTATTTGGCATTTTCAGATCCTTGGATAGAAGTGCAAAGTTATGTTATTTTTATTATTTAAGACAAGTAACTAGCTCACATATTAATCAGAGAATTCTAGCTGTAAAAGATGGGTATGAAAAAATTTTATTAAGGTTTTCAGAGGTGGAATAAATTTTGGTGCTGATTTTAGGGTTCCCACTTTTCACCAACTTAATTCATTTTTCTTGAATCTTGCGAGACTAATTCACAGGCTCTGAAAAATATCCTGTCTACAATCTTTCTTTGCATCATGTCGCAACATCATGTCATACTGCAGTGTAATATTATTTTCTCCCACAGGACAAAATTGCAGAAGTGGCAACTCATTCCTGGAGACTAATTTTTTTCTAGTGCTGCCACTAATTATTTGCTACCCCAGTATGGTAGAGTTTTCAATGGGTTTTGTCAGTGACAGGAAGAGTAAAGCAGTGTAACTGATATTTTGTTTCTATTAGAAGTTCCATAGAAAGGAGAGAAGATGCAATGCACTTGTATGGTTTTAGGTACCTGCAGGTTTACTTTTACTGCCCTACACTTTTGATTTAGAATGGTCTGTTGGGTTTCTACCCTCCATTTTATTGTTTGTTCACACATCCAAATGTTGATGCTATCTGGATGACTACAGAATGACTACCAGGCAAATAGACTGGATGTTATGAGTGATGGGTGTGGATGTTTACAAGGAGATTTAATTCTATCTAGGTAGACCGGTCTGTATATTTCTCTTGCTCGCTCTGTCTCAGCAATGGGGAATGTATGCTCAGGAGCCAAGGTCACATATACAGAAATAAAGCCAACCACAATAGGTGTTGGTCTCTTTTGTGTCTGAAGTTACCAGAATCTTTGGTGTCCTGTCCCTCTTGCTAGAAGATGGTATCTACAGGTCTTCTTAGTGTTTTTCAAATACATATTTTTGTAAAAAGGTTAAAAAGAAAAAATTCTGGTGAGTCATGCAGCTTCAAGTGTGTAACTCCTGAACATAAAGGAGGAATAGAACCTGCAAATGGTCTGGTCCAGCTTACTCATAGAAATTACAGCTGAATGGGAAGACATATTAAAGCCGCCCCCCCCGGAACCTCATCATCAAAAATATTGTTTGCTGAACAGGAAGGGAGTAGACAGTAAGGCAAGGGCTTTGCAAAATTTGCTGTTAGTTTACAGAAGTTCCCTGCTGTGTTTCATAGCTCTAGCATGGCCATTTGATCAACCTTTTCTCTGCCTCTCCAACTCCTTCCTAAGCAGTGCACCCTGCCAATCACTAAGCTGAGGTTCTTTGTGGCAGAGCTATAATGTCATGTAACAATGGTAATTTAGATGTGTCATTTTTTTTCTGAGAACAAGGAACTTTGTTAGAATAAGGAAAACATTATCCATAAACCCACTCTGCCTCTCTTTGTCACTGTATAGCGTTTCCCTAATTTCTTCCCAAGCTTTCCTCCTGGCTCAGAGGTAATTTCAGCACATCCAGTGACAATCCCACAGGGGTCCCCGTGACTGAATCCGTCACACACACATCCTCTCTTATGAGGTCTTTAAAATCATTTACCATCAGTATTATCAGTAGCCTGTTAAAAGTGTTTTTTAGTTCCACTTAGAGACAAAATTACATTACTGGCCTTGTAGTGTTCAGTAGTCCTTCCTTATTCAATATATTTAAAAGCCCCTATTAAAAAATTATTTCATCTTTCAAAAATGAAGATTATCTAGGCTCTGAATTAGCAAACTGTAAATAAGATTCCAAGAGATTTCATTTTCAGGTTGAACAGGTTGGCACTACTTTCAAGTCTACAAGATTATGTGCACCATCTACTGTCTGGACTGTGATATAATGTTTCCTAAAAGACTAAAGGTATAAGCTAAAGTCAGTATGCTAAATTAATGTTGGCTTAAGTTATAAGTCTACAATTTCTAGAGACAAGGCAAGGAAATTTTTGATATTGAAAAAGGGAGAAATGCATCCTCAGTTTCCATAAGTCTTCTTGTTGTCAAAGGCCCATCAATTTTATACATTAACACAAAGCATTCTGCATACTTTGATTGCCCTACGGTTTTGCACATTAATTTGCTAGCTCTTTATGTTCTACACCTTTAAGGATGTGAATGGTATCAGGGTGGATAAAAATCAATGATTTTTTTAATTTAAATCGGATTTTTTTGAGGAAAAAACCTATCAAAACAGAGTTTTAATTAAGATACATTATAGCTCAAAGATATCTCATCATGGAATAGGGATTATAAATTCTAATTCTATAGTATGAGACAATATATTCATGTAATGTTTAAGTTTTGTAAATGAGTTCCAATGGTTCATGGATTAGGGATTTTATGGGGTTCCACAGGCTTCTGTACAGTATAGATTATTTAGATTAATCTTTCTATCTACCCAATGGGACTCAGTGCTCAGTCTATAAGATACCATCAGAGATGCTTGTTCTCAAACTGTGGATTTGTCTCCAGAGGTAACATGCTTGTTAACAGCAAAAATGTTTTAAAATAAAGAAATAATATAGAGAGGTGAGAAATAACAGACCTCAACTCTATTGTCCCTCTGCAAATTTGTGTATGCAGAGTCAATCCCTTACCTCTCTCTAAAAGTGCAAAGTTTCAAAAAAGTTCAATGAATAGAAGATTGTTGGGGGTGGAATAGATCTGGACAAGGAGAAGTCTGGAGATAAATGTGAGAAGCGAGAGACATATGCTTGTTTTGTTAAAATATTATATGTTTGCTGTTGAAGAAAAAAATCCAGAATACTTAACGCTGTTTTACTTAAATAAAGCAATTTAAGTGTCTGTCTGGTGATGTTCTCCTCCTAATACAGCATGGCAAGAAAATCCTCCAAATATTAATGATTAACCTGTTGAATTGGAGATAGTTCACCTCCCACTGACTTCATAAATATCTGCTTCAATTACCTTTGGTAAATGAAATAACCAAACAATCATTCATTTTCTGATATAGCTGTAAAACTAATCTGAAAAGTTTTCAAAATAAATCACTGTTTAAAAATGTATAGTGTGTACCTTCTAAAAATGAAACCTACATCTATCACTGAGTTGTGAAAGATATATATTGTTATAACAACTAACAAGAATGCACGTTTATGTAGAAAACCATGATTAAATTGACCTTCCTGACTAGTGATTTAAATCAAATCCACCCTGACTGGTAATATGAAATTCATCTTTACAGGAAATGAGCATTTCAGTTAGTGGCCATCCGAGTAATAAGATCAATTTGTGTTTTCAAAATTTTTACACACTGGTATAATCACCCAGTTGGGCTGAGGTTTCGATATTCCCTTCCCCATCCCCCACCCCCAGTCTTTCCCCCCAAAAGCACATAGGCCTATTTAAAAAAAATCACCTATAACTGAGGTCTTTCCAGGAGTGCAGCTAATGTATTGAAAAAATACCAGCTGTGAAATGCACAATAATATTTTTTGGCTTTATCATGCTCTCGGCACACTTAGTAAATAAAGGTAATAGTTATTAAGGAGCACTACACTCCCTCCATGTTTAAGGCTAAACCCGGGTTCCCATCACAAGCCTGATTTACACCTGTTTTTAAGATGAGCAACACTAAATAAGGAAGACACATTTTTGTGTCTGCTACAAGAGCAAAGGACTTCAAATTGCTACTGTTGACAGTAACCCTTTTCTTATTCAATCCCACTGGCAGTGATGCTACAAGGACTGAGTGTACAGCCCAAGCATTTGCCATTTATATGCAGACAGGTTTTACAACGTACAACCACATTACAGAAGGCATAGTTCAGAGCCAGAATACCTTCAAGGGTGAGATTTTCAGAAGTGCTGTTTGGCCCATTTCTTCTTCCACTGAAGTCAATGGCCAACAGTAAAATGTCCAGTGATTTCAACTGCAGCAGTTAGGCCACCACTGAGCACTTTTCAAAAAACCCATTCTATAAAACGTGTAATAAATGCATCTTTCATAATAAAAACCAGAGTTGAAGAAACCTGTTGGCTCACCAATCCACTACTATTTGGGATTTTTACACAAGACTCTTTTCAATGGAAATTAGGTAAATTGTTTGTGTGTGGATCGTACCGGCAGAAAACATGCATAGGCTCACAAATAATCATTCCAGGACCTGAGTGATCCCTTGCTTCATTCCTACACCTCCCTTCAGTCCTCCCTCTTTCTCTGAGATGTTGCTGCAGCATGGACCCCAATCTCACGGAGAAGCCGGAGATGTGAAAATTGCGCCCACAGCGGCCAGCCACTGTTGCTCCCTGGCCCTCTGGAGTAGTCTGCATTGGCTCACCTCCCGCTTTTAAGGTGCCACTGCTCAGTGGCCAGATCGAACTCAAGTTCTCTCTGTCACACCCACTACTAAAACACAAAAATACTAGTTTGTTACCAAGGTCAAATTAATTACAGGCTCTATTCAGAATGCTGCTATGTGGTATGAATGGTATTTGTATGGTGTAAACATGTATTCCTGTGCTGCATTTAATCAGCCAAACCATTTGCAGGTGCAAACAGGTGCAGCACCACTGAAGTCAATGAAGTTACATGGATTTACCCTGAGGATCTGTCCCTGTGTATCCACATATTGAGATAAATTCTGTCTTTAGAATCACGCTGCATAGCTCCAATTTCGGCAGTAATTTACATGACTAGTACACAAGCTGAAATTAATCTCCTTTCATATGTTCCCGTCTGACTATATTTCTGCTATGCTTGTTTTCCCACCCATTTTTTTCCCTTTCATAAAAGCTTATGTACATTACTCTGGGGGGACGACACATGACTGGTCACTAGAAGTAGATGGCACGTAACTTCTGAACTTGTTCCTCTAGGAAAAAGCAATTAGACTGAGCTGAACTCAAACATACAAATTTAATATAAAGAGAATGTGTCATCTCTGCAGTATTATTACATAACCAAAGACTATGCCAAGTGTGAAAAACAGAACTGCGTCACTGACATGTTACCATTGTGCAGCATTGCTGTACAGCAGCTGGTTGCCTTCCTACATTCCAGAGGGAACTACACATTTCAGTGATGCTGTATATACCATTTATGGAATGCTCATACATTTAGATTATTGTTAACCTGTCACAGCCTAAAAAGCAGAATACTGATTTAGTTATGATACACTTTCAAATCTTGGATTCCCCACGGAGATTGTCACAAGGCTACTAATTACAATAGTGGTTTTGTAATGTGGCCATATGTCCACTAATCCACTCATTTCACATAAACCACTGGACAGATTATAATGACTTTCATACACTGCTAACCTATGACAAAAATCAAGCCAGACTTGCCATCCTGAGACATGAGCACCCAAAACTAGATTTGTATATGTTCAGCATCTCTCAGGATATGGCTCACAGTGGTGCAAGTTACACTGTCACATTTTCAAGAGACGTTTATAAACACCTGTCACTATTTCAGCATAACCAGAACCGTCAGTCTCTCAAATGAAACTGTCATTTTATTGATACTTCCCAGCAGGACTTTCAGTCTGAGATTAAAACACAGGAAATACAGTACTACGTTAGAATGCATGGAAAAAATAGGAGACTTTGAAAGTTGTTGTAAGGTTTAAAAAAAAAAGGGGGCTTTTTTTTTTGTAAATTAAAGGCATCTACATTGTAGAAACAGTACTGTTTCCTAATTGTTTTTGCTGCCTCAGCACTTAGCATGATTTAGCTGTGAGTACAGACACGGACAAAACAGAGCAGAGGTTATAGCAAAAGTTAATGATTTTAAATGAACTGGGGCTGGTCAGTTTGCCCTTGTCTCTGCTTATACCTCAACTGTGCTCAGCACCAATGCAAATAACAAAGATTGCTGACAACCAAATACTAAAATGGTAGTACACACCAGGCCAAAGAAATAAGGTAACAATGGGTTAAACTGTTTAACCACTAAATAATTTTAAAAATAAATTGGCCCACTGAGTATAGAAAATACATAAACTTGTGAAGGTTGCAGCTTTCTACTGAATTGCTAATTATTGTTTACTAGACCTAAGATTTTTTCTTTTTTGTGATTCATTCCTTTGAATAATTAGATTATCTAATTCTTATCTCATCTACAATTTTCCAAAGAACCAGAGGAAAGGTGGGAGCAAAGTATAGCAGCCATTAGAGGAACTACCATAGCAAGCACCTAATTCTACAGCTCATCACAGTTACTGGACCAGAGAAACAGGCAACAATCTAGGTAAAGGAGATGGCAATGGTAGCTACACACGTTTTATTCCCCAACTCCCTCTCCACACAGAATCTTTTTGCAGATGCTGCCAAGTCTATTCCCAATTGCCAAATCCTTTGGCACCCTCTGTAAAGTTCTACCCAACCTGATTCCCACCCCATCATCTGTATTTCACTCCCTTCCTTCACAACTCTTTCTGCTTCTCAGTGAATAACACTGTATAGGGAGTTACAGTAAAAGACAGTGATACAGGGAATAGCTCCTGTACACAGGACTGAGTGTTCAGAGTTATTTTTAGAGAGGTGTACAATTAAAGGGGTAGTTGAACAGTCTGTTAAAAACAAAAACAAAAAACCAGAATACTTTCTACATTAATAAGTATTTCAAAACCCACAATGTTCTATTTAGAAATGATTTATTGTGTTCACATCCACTATCTTCAGGTCCACAAATTGCAGAGGAAATCATTTAAGCTTTATGCTTTTCTTAACTCCAGCACGAATGCCAGACAGTTCACCACCATATCTTTGTTCTTCTTTTCGAACCTCACGAACTTGGCCCTTTCTACGAATCTTAGCACGCCTGAATTTTTCACGATGCTTGACTCTCGGGTTACGATCAATCTTCTTCCTTTTGGGTGTAAGGCCTTTATTCTTGGCAATCTGATATGTTATACCTCTCTTTTTATTTGGATCTTCTTCGAGAACCAGTTCCTCTTCCATAGCATTCTGATCTTTTCTTCTCTTCCTCTTGAGTTTCATCTTCTCCTCCATCTCCCTGTAAAATTTCAAGGCAGCCTCTTCATCTAAGTCTGAATCATCTCTTGGTTCTTTAGCAGCAGCTTCAACATTAGAAATCTTAGGAGCAGATTTTGGTTTATTTTTGTTAACAGTTCTCTGAAGAAGCATTGTGGGTTTCTTCTTTCCTCCTACATCATTTCTTTCATTATTGTGGAGCTCATTAAGGAGCCACTGGACTTCTGATGATAACTTTTCATCCACAATCCCCAAGTCATTGATTAAATTTCTGTAAGCAACCAGTCTTTCAATAACAGGGTGGCCCTGAACTGGAATCCTCTTTGATTTCAGAACCAAGTAGAAGCTGATATTGGTGCAATAATTCAAATAGAGATGATACTTGGTCTGCAGGTAACGGCTACCTTTTCCCTTCGGGATGATCCCATGCCTGACCATGTGCATGAGTGGATCCAATTCATCCTTGAGCTCAGTTAACTTGGCTTCAAAGTCCTGAATCAGCTGCAGCAGCTCAGGTGACTCTTGCTTCAGCAGCTTCAGTTGCTCCTTTCTAGAAAGTGTCTCCAAATCCTTGGCAATCTTCGGCCCCGTCTCCAGCCGCTGGGTGCTGCGCTGCTCATCCGCGTAGGCCTGCACCAGGTCCAGCCCGTAGTCGTCTTCGCCCAAGGCCTGCGCCAGACGCTTCTGGATGGCCTGAGCCTCCTGCTCCTCCTCCAGCTCCTCGGCCTCGGCCTCCTCGCGGCTCCGCTTGCTCTTCGAGCGGGCCGCGGCCCCGTAGTCCGTGTCATAATAGAGCTGCTTGCGCTGCCCCCAGGAGAGCTCGTGGGGGAGGCCGGAGCCGCTGACTGGCTCCTCCAGGTCACTGTGCATAGACAGGTCCCCATCCTCTTCATCTTCCTCCCCATCCTCCTCCTCTTCCTCCTCCTCGCTCTCCTCCGGCAGCTCCAGCCCCAGCACCTCCTCCTCGCTCTCCTCCTCCGCCTCCTCCTCGCTCCCCAGCGCCCCCATCACCGCCTCGAACCGCGCCTCGTGGAAATCGTCCACCTCGTCCGTGAAGCTCTGCGAGGCCAGCGGGCCCGGCTCCGGCCCGGCGGGCTCCTCCCCGGCATCCTCCTCCGCCTTCGGCAGCCTCCGGCGCGGCGCGGCCCGGCGCGGCCTACCCATGGTGCGGACAGCGGGCGAGTGTGTGCGTGCGCGCGGGCCCGGCGCTTCTCCGGCCCACTTCCGGCACCGGGAGAGCGTGTGCCACCGCCGTTCCCCTCCCCACTTCCGGCTCCGGCGCAGCGTGCGCGACCGCCATTCCCCTCCCCACTTCCGGCTGCCAAAGCGGTTACCGTCGTCACCACTCGCGTTCTTCCGGCCACTTCCGGTAGCGCAGCGCGTGCCTAGTGATGCCCTTCCTCTCTTCCGGTCGCTAAGTGTTGTGCCCCTCGCGATCTCCTTCCCTACTTCCGGCTGCCCCGCGTCCTCCCAGAGGTTCCCAGCGGCCCCGCGGCAGAGGGCCGCTGCGCTGTGCCCACGCAGGAGCCAGCCGCGGACAGTGTGGACCCCATTGCCCCGGGAGAGCGTCGCCTGGGAGACGGGCCTGGACACGCCGGACACTCGGCGCCCCTGAGCGGCTCCGGCAGGCCCCGCCTCCCCGAAGCCCCAGGGGTTCCTGCGACTCCAGCCGCCCTGGCCGGTGGGGTTCTCATCGGCCCAAGGGCTCACGGCCCCCACGGGAGGCCCTCAGCCTGGCCCAGGCTGTAGCCAGCTCAGCTGAAACGGGAGTGTGTCATGGGCTGTTTTCAATCGAGTTAAGCCAAAGGGACTGTGCTGACTCCGGGGGAAAACGCGCCCTTGTTGCCTGTGAAGACAAGCCTTTTGAATGGGGAAGATTTGTCACCTTCCCCAGCCCGTGTAGAGCTTGCTAACAAAATGCAGATGAAGAGGAGACAGCCTGGTTCAGTGGATAGGGTACAGGAGGGGGAGCCAGGACGCCTGGACTCTATTCCCAGTCCTGCCACAACGTGGGATGTCGGATAAATCACTCCATCGCTCTACGTCTTAGCTAGCCACAGCTGTAAAATAAAAATCACAACACTTGCACACCTTTGTGTAGTGCTTTGAGATCTGTAGACCTAGTAGGAGTCCTAAGTATAATTAATAACAAAGATCTCATACTAAAAACAGAGTTTGTGTATTACCAGATTTGGTCAGGGTGGGTCAATCAATGAGGAAAGCTGGAGAGAGCACAGACTTCAGTGAGATTACCCTGGGGATAAATTTGGCTGGGATGGGATTTCTATCCTTCTTAACACTGTGCTACTCCAATAAGGTGCGTGGATGTGAGAGAGTAATTAAATTATGTGAGAGAGTAAATTCAGACCTCTTCAAGACTAAAATATCCAAAGGAAAAGCAAAAAATGAGACGTAATTGTAACAGAAGGTGCCAAAAAAAAAAAAAAAGCAATGAAATGTAGAATCAATATGACATTGCAGAACACCGTAGAAGAAATTGGCAGCTGCTTTGTCAGGCATCTCCATCATAGCACCACAAATTGCTTTCAACATGTCAAGTGATAGTCAATCGAGTGTACTTAGTGTTAGCTGCCATCTGGTTTGCTAGTGAAACCAAGCCACTTCCAGATGTGATATTTAAGACATTATTGTAACTTCTGCTTGTGTTTGCCAGCTTAAGTGAATAAGGAATAAATTCAAATCTCTCAGCAGAGCACCACTCACATGCTTTCTGTATTCCAGATACACAGCAGTCAGCCACATCTAATATAAGTTCAATTTGTAGCTGCATGAAGCTATTCATTATGGTTGGATAGTTGGTTTTTTTTGCCACTATCTTACCCTCCTTTCTTCTGAAAAGTACTAGTATGCATTAATTACAGAGGGAAATATCACTAGATGAACCTTATGGGTGAGAAAATGAATTGGCTGCAGTTATCATTCTATCGATCATACAGGAGGACAAGTTTGGGTTCAGCTCACTTAGTACTGTGATACTGCAATACAACATCGTTGTGTCATGCTGCACATTCAGAAAAGGCCTGTGGTCTAGAACCCAATCTTTAGAGCACAGGGGAAAGATTTTGATTAGTGTTTGGCTTCAATGAAAGTTAAAGACAGAAGTCAGAGTTCTCTGGGTTTGTCCTCCCTAGTTGTAAATGGTGAATTCAGATTTCTAATCTGAGCTGAGTTTCCCATTCCCCTCAGTCAGCTATGGACCACCCATTGACCTTGCAGCTCAGTTAATACAGGTGGAAAATTGGTTAGAAGATGACAGCTCATTTAAAAATCAGATACTGCTGTAAGATAAGGAAAGCAGGACTTTGCATGATTTACCTCCTGACTTGGCCAGAGGAATGGTCCAGTTTGGCCCAAGGGCATGTGATAAAAGATGTTTTCAAGCTATGAAGGCCCTGGTTTGAGTCTTGCCTGTGACAATGTGCATGTTGCCCAGTCAGGGCTAAATCCTGCTCACCTTACTCAAATGAGTAGATCCAGGGATGTTAATAGGATGCTTTGTGTTTAAGTAATACAAGCAGGATTTGGCCCTCAGTAAGACTAGACACCATGCAGGGACTTTACTAACTGGTTAATCCTTTCTATTATATATGTTCTCCATTTGGCAGACAAGGGGGTAAGGGGTCAAATTTTCAGATGGCTTCAGCCCAGCTTTAAAATTTGACTGAGTGTGCAAGTTTTGCATTCATGTATCAAGTAATTGAATGCAAGTGTAGTAACTGCAGCTACATATATGTGTCCATAAGTTACACACACAATATTCAAGACCATATTTTAAACATATGGCCCTATAGTTGCATATTAAAGAAGGTTCCGTAGATAGTAAACTCTTTGGGCAGGGGCATTCTTTTTCTTCTTTGTTTGTACAGCACCTCGCTCAACAGGGTCCTGGGTCCTGACTGGGGCTCCCAAGCATTACCACAATACAAACAATAAGCTGCATTTCCTTAGGGCGGAATCAGTGACACAAACTCTAAGAAAGCATTGTGAAATGCTGATTCTCCAGATAAGGTTTTATAATGTCTTGAAATTAAACTTCAGCTCTGCTGGATGAGTAGTAAGTAGATCAGGTACAGAATCATTATCAGCTTGCTCTGGAGTGTAAATGACACCATTATTATAAAAGGAATCCTTTTTAATCAGAATGATCTAAAAAGGCTCAGTTGTGGTTAGAGCTGGCAGCTCTGTGCTGTTATTAGGCTAGCATTTCTCAGACCTTACAGGGATCCGTAATGAATGCTGCCAGGTGGAGGGAGATTTTTCAAGAGGAAATGAGCTCCCCACCCTGTTGGTGTTAAAAGTACATGCTCATTTTTTAGACGCCTTTTGGTAACAACCATTGCAATACCTCCCTGGGATTTAGCCTAACAGAAAGAGGAAGATCTGAAGTGCACCTGGCATCTGACTGCGTGTTAACTGAAACTGCTCGCTAACAAATTCCCTGTAACCAGACTGCCAAAGTGTCTCACACTCTAGAAGACCACAGAGGAAGGACAAGACAATACTTGAAAAATTATCTGGACAAATATGAGGGACAAAACAAGAACCGTCCTGACCTCTTGCCCTTTACAAAGACCCTCCATTTACATGTAAATGCCTCTTAAAATAGACCTGATGAATGCTCCCTGCAATTCAAGTTTTCCTTCTTATGTTTTTTTCTGTATATATACGCACCTTCTTAGATCTCTCTCTTGGGTAGTAGGTTTTGTTCTTTGGAGGCAGGGATTGTGCCTTCATTTATATTTGTACAGCACCTAGCATGCTGTAGGTACTACTGGAAAACAAGAAGCAACTATTACATAAAGTTGACCTCTTAGGAATTTTTATTTTCTCAAATTGTAACTCACCTAACATTTTGTTGCTTTTCTTTGCTAAATGCTGTAAACTATGGAGAAGTTAGGACTGGCCATTGTCAAAGGTGACTTAATGCATTATAAGCCTGCTTTGCATCTCACTGCACATGGATGTAAGTCAGGAGTACCTCCATGGAAGTCAATGGAGTGACATGGTAAAACTTGTGCGAGAGAAGTATCTTGCATGTTGGATTTCCTGCAGCACTGCACAAGGATACAGTATATATATATATTAGTCATATAAAGCTTTTATTTTTATGGTAGCATCCACTACATGCTAAGTGGTTTCCAAACATTCACGAAGGGGCAGTCCTTCACCAAGGTGCTCACAATCTAAAAGGGGACAGAGATAAGGAGACAGAGGCTGGGGAAGGGGAATAACAAAGAGAGAATGTATATTCAAGTCCACTGCAAGCAGCATAGAGCTTTAAAGGTAGGAAGGTAGGGTCCTTGTAGATGAGCTGGGGGAGGGAGGAAGCTGCATGAAAGGAGGCGCAGAGAGGATCCTACGAGTAGCTGATGTAGGGAGACAGGGGCCGAGTGCAGGTCAGGAAGCAGTGTCCTGAAGGGAATCCCTCTGTAGCTCTCTCACTTCTTTTTTACAGCACCTTCACTGACTGACAACTTTCATTAGTGACTGTTTCAAGAAGCCTCCTTATTCTGGGGACCTAAGGGAGATGTAAGTGGTGCATAGGCCTTGTGCTACCTGTGCACAGTGGTGAATTTAACCCTCCATGCCCTACGAAAATGTTTTGGGGGAGCAGCACAGCAATGTTACACAGCAGTGTAGGACAGGAGCTGGAGAAGCACACTGCGTCTAGTTGAGATGGCAGAGATTGGTGAGGAGGATGCCTATGAGCAACTGTGGGCTGGACTTTGGCCAAAAAAATCTCTACTTTTGTGAACGTGCCAGGGGACCTTTATTATCATGAGAGATCAGAATCCCCATTTTACCTCTCATCTGAAAGAAAGCACCTCCATCAGGAGAGCACCCCCTCCCTATGAAGGGCCAAGTTCTGCCAGCACCTGGTACTGTACCTCTGCAATGCTGATATTTCCTCTCTGGTGCTGGAGGTCTCATCCTAGTGCTGTCCAGACCCAGCAGTGCTCAGCTTGTGAGAGCAGGTGAGATCATAGCCTGCCAGGGTATGCCTACAGGGGTACTGGAACAATACCTAGAATGAGGAGCATGGATCAACGTTCATGTCGCACTCCCTCTCAGTACCCAGCTGATGCCAGGAAAACTAATGAACCAACCAGTGGACCAAATTCAGTGATGATGAATCCTGGTCACGAGCCATCTGAAGTACATTGCGCATATGCTAAGAGTAATACGTAGAATAATTAACTTCAGCAGTTATGTATTATGTAATTTACAAGATACAACAGTGTCTAAAATCTGGCGTAACTGGGTAATGCAATGGGCCTAAAGTGGCGTTCCAGGGGTAGTGCCCACACTCCTTCAGTAGGTACTTTAGCTATATTGTTTGAACAAATTCTGTTTTGGGACTGGCTATTCAGGGCCAGATCTTTAGTGGGTGTAAACTGGCATAGCTCCAGTGAAGTCTATGCAGCTATGCAGATTAACACCAATGAAGGATGTGGCCCTTCGCTTGTGCAATTTTTAAGCCATCTTTATTTGCCTTCTTGTCTACATGAATGTTTCCTTTTACAGTTTCCACTCTCAGTCACGAGAGGCACCTAATCTATTCTCCCACCCTTTTAAAGGGGGAGGGGGAGAAAATCAAACATAGATTGACTGAAGTAATTCTCAAAAAGAAAAGGAGTACTCGTGGCACCTTAGCCACAAGTCCTCCTTTTCCTTTTGCGAATACAGAGTAACACGGCTGCTACTCTGAAACCTGAAGTAATTCTGTCATTGACAAATGCAGAGAGGCATGGCAGAATGAGTCATAGTAAATTATGTCTGATGCCCTCAGAAACACTAATCTGGTAAGTGAAGCTGACATATACCAAACCCAGCAACAGTTCTATGTGAAACAAGTCCAGGTGCTAGTTTGTTTAAAAACCAAACCACGCAACAGGTGCAGCTTTTCTTATTAATATAAATATCTAACCACAGGGGGGAAAAACAGGAGACCTGTCAAACTAACATTAAAGTTGCCTTAGATGGCAAGAAGATTCAGTAATAAAGATTTAAGGCTGAAAATTCAGGTTGACACTCCAGCCTTCACTCAGCACTTGTCTACACACACATTTAATGGACTGTAAACAGGGGTGTAAATTTAACCCACGCTAGCTGCCACTGACTGTCTGTCTGTGTGGACCCGGCTGACATGCGCGAACACTTCCTGAGTGGGTTTTGATGTAGCCCTGCTTCAAAGTGAGGTAGATCAACGTGCACTAAGGAGCTGCAGTGCGTGACAGCGGGGTCCACACAGACAGTTAATGCGTGGCAGGCTAAAGTGGGGTAGATTTACACCCCACTTTACCACAAGCTAAATGTTCCCATCATCATCTTACATCTAATAACGATAGTGGATGCTAGTAGTTAAGGTTGCAAAACAGTTTCTGTTGTCGTCCTTTTTGCACATGCTCACCTTCCCGAGCAAGGGCTGGCAAGCGTCCCAGGGATGCAGTTGTAACGGAGTCCTTTTGCTTGGAGTGAGGAGGAGGTGAGAGCACCATGAACTGAGGTACTGCTTATTTCCTCTCTTGCGCCAGGCCAGCTTACTGGCTGGCACATCGAGGGGCATGGAGCCATGGCTCTGACCTCTCTCCAACCCACCCCCTCCTGCCCACTTACACACAGGGTGGGGTGGAGGAACAGCCCCTGCTCAGCCCCTGCTTTCACCATGCCCATGCCAGTGCCACGATCAGTGTGGGTCCCGTGCAGCTGTGCGTGGACCTGGGGACTTCCTCTTACAGCCTGCATAGAACCAAGGCCCTATAGGCTTTCAGTCAAAAAAAGTTGAGAGCGTGAGCCTTCTGTCACTGAAGTCAGAGGCAAACCAGGGGGTGAAGTCTGGCTCCAGTGACGTCAATGGCAAAACTCTTATTGACTTCCATGATCAGGATGGGTCAATGGGCAGGGGCCTGGATTTCACACTCTAACTTTAGTGGGAGCAAGATCAGGCGCTATATGGTCCACACTGCAATGCTGCGAATCCCAGGAACTCAAAAATCGTGAGTCAGGCTTCCAAAATCTTGAGGGTTTTTTAAAAAAATAAATCAATAAAGTTTGGGTTCATTTTCTTTGCCTTTTTGCTTCATGATCCTTTAGGGCTCACATTTTAAAGATTTTTGCTGCAATCCTGAAGGCTGGAAACTTTAATTTTTAAAAAAATTAAAGCTGAGAATCTCCTATAATCACATGCCTCACTTCAGAAGCAAAGCTGTTTGGATACCAGTAAATACATAAAAAGTAAAGTGCCTGGCATGCAGCTGAAGCAGTCTAATCCCAAAATAAGGGTCCAATCTGAGTGTGCAGGGGAGGAGGGTAGGGGGTATGTGCACAGTCAAGATTAGGCTCTCAAGAACGTAATTTGCTAGGGTGCCTAAAGTTAGTGTCCTAAATCCATCTTTCGGCTTCTAAAAATAAGTGGCCTGATTTCCAGGGGTGCTGCCGACTGAACTCAGCAGGATCACCCAGGATGTAAATCAGCACCTAATTTTGCCCTTGGGGACTACATAGTTCTAAAATATTCATGGATGTTGACCTTTGATTTTTTATTTTTTTTTTTAATTAAACCCTCCTGCATAGGCAGAACTGGCCAGAATCAGCCTCCTTTGCATATTCTGCTTTCTGCTGCTTTCGGGTTTTTTTCTTTAAACCTATCTTTGGTTTATCGAACAGCTGACCGAAACAAATCGCAGTTGGAGAACAGAAACTCCCTCATGGTTAACTCAAGCCTATTTTTAAACCTGTGCTAAAGGTGGAGCCCAGCAGGAATCCAACAGCAATAGCAGAAGAAAGCGCCATATAACATCTAGCTGGAAATGCTGTCTAGATATCTTGGTATACAGAAGAAGAGACAGAAGAGCAACTTCTGCTTTTACAGATAGGCAGCCCCACTGACTGGACTGGGGGCTGCACAGATCTGAGACACAGCGGGATTAAGCCAAAAGAATTGCGACAAAACGAAATGATGATGGAAGTTGTGACTGACACCTGCCCGTCCCCCCCCGGTGGGGAAGCCTTGCATTAAGATACTTGTTAATCCAGTACAAATGCTCTTTGCATTGTGCCAATGTCCCAAGATGCATCTGTGTTCAATCCTGCCCCTCTTACAGTCGATGACAAAACTCCCATTGACTCTAATAGGTGCAGGATCTGGATCACAGTTAGTAAGATGTGGAGTGAGGGAAGACAGCATGTGAGTAGTTATCCTACCAAGGGCACTATGTGTCCAAGACACATTCCACGCACAAACACTTTAAATCTAGATCTCCCTGGCAGCAAGGTCTAGTGGGTACAGCCTCAAATGGGAGTGAAGAGATTTGATGGTGTTCTGTTCATGGCTCTATTATTAATTTGCTTTGCTGTGCCTCATTTTTACCCTCTGTAAAGTGGAGGTGGGGGAATAATTTTTACCACCTCTTTTGTAAGATGCTCTGAGACCTATGGGTGAAATGAAGTTGGACAAGTCACTTAGTCTCCTTGTGCCTCTGTTCTCTGTGGAAAGGGGGTGCTGGAGAGGAGATGGACACTGTCATGATAAAGTCACCCATTGAAATGACACCCCTGTCACTGAGTTGATCATGGGATCTACACCCCGTAACCGAAGTGCATTGGTATCCTGTGGGGGCGTCAGAAGGGAAGAGGGTTTCCCCAATCTGCCTATGCAGACATTAACAGGCAAGGAAAGGTACAATGACTACTGCCTAATCATCTCTTAGCTTGCCTAAGCAGAGAGGCAGTGCTCTGTAGCAGATAAAGCACCAGGGTGGGATTCAGGAAACCTGAGTTCTTTTTCCAGTTCTGTCACTTCACTTCTGTTTATCCTTCATCCTTTATTTAGATTATAAACTCTCTGGGGCAAGAGTGGTGCTCCACTGTCAATCTGGAAATCACTCTCCTCCCCAACCCCCCACTTGTAGCCCTCTGCGTAACTGCCTGTAAACATGTCACTGGTCTAGGAATGAACATGATCCATCCTGGCCCTCGTGCCAGCATAATTTGGGATCCTTTGCTGTCCTACTGCTTGCTTGGCAGCACACCAAGTTAAAAGTGCTGCAATAATTCTACCCATCAGTAGATCTTTGAAAGAACCAAATCTTCCCTTGAGCATTAAACCAATTGCAGTGTCTGGTTTCAACACCCCCAACCACATCTTACAGCGGTGTTTGAGAGCTAGCACCCTGGGCTGTTATTTTAGGAAACAAATAGCTCTATCATTTGCACACACCCTTATAGGCAGATGACACTCCTCTAAACTCAAGTTCTTCAAAAGAAGGGAAGGCAGGATGAAGACCTCTTTGTTACTGTGGGGAGTCCTGGCAGTTTTCTTGGGGGCTGCTCTTGTGGCAGGTAGGTGTGAAATGAAATGAAGACCATTATAAATGATGCTTAACTATAAACTTGCATTTGGGTAGCTGTGCTGAACAGTCACCTGTCATCAGTGATCTTAATAGGCAGGCAAGACAAGCCTCTTTCTGCTAGGTCCGGACCCAACACCCACTGAAATCAATCTGCACTGGACTTGACTTGGGGCCTTGGTCTGTCTCTGCACCCAAAGAGTGATGTTTTGAAAAATCCCTGTTGCAGTGCTAAGGGAGTGATCGCTAGCTACTCAGTAATGCCTTAGTATTAGCTGTGTGGTTCTCAGACCTTTGTACTGGTGACCCCTTTCACACAGCAAGCCTCTGAGTGCAATTCCCCTTATAAATTAAAAACTTTTTAAATATATTTAACACTATTATAAATGCTGGCGGGGAAGCGGAGTTTGGGGTGGAGGCTGACAGCCCACAACCCCCCCCCCCGTGTAATAACCTTACGACCCCCTGAGGGGTCAGAACCCCCAGTTTGAGAACCCCTGTTTTAATCAGAGGTTCTGCATCAATGAGCTGAAAGTGCAGGTGTTTTCTCTTCCTCCCACTTGGGAAGCTCACAAGGCTGACTTTGCCTAACTAGAATTAAAGGCTTCTAAATACTTCTTTCTGAGTGTATCTGCCTGTTACAATGGGGCTGGATTCTGACCTCACTGTAGTTTTACAGCACGTAACTCTGCTGATTTAAATGGAGATATTCCTGGGTTACACTTGTCTAAGTGAGATAAGAATCTTGTCCATACAGAATAGAAAAAATGGTTGACAGGTAGTATATACTGACTATTTTGATGTGACTTTTTTACACAATGGTGTAACTTAGGTCAAATTCTTCTCTGTATTCTATTCCGCTGTTAATTGGAACAGTACACCCCCAGGGTCCATTACATCCTGCATTTTCTCTAATCTTGATAACATTAAGGGCTACATTTTGCATTAATTTATAATTTCTTTAAAAGTATTGATTTCATAGAGATGTAGCTGAGTACAGAATTTGGCTGCAGGAGTGTACAGTAATCGGTGACAGTGGTCGATTGTCAAATATGCACCAGGTCAACCGAGAGTTGAACTTGCTTCTTCTCATTGGAATTATTACAGCCTCTAATGTGTGTGCAAGTCACAGTGAAGTCTATGTGAGCTAAGTGCCTCTCTGGGAGCATAATTTGGCCCATTTGTTTTTAAATGAATCCATTTTGGGTCTAATTGGATTTATTCTTGCTTTAATAATGGAAACGGTTTAAAATTCAGCAGTGCGTGAGCAGCCATTTTGCAATTTCTTTGCTTCTTTAATATGCTGCAGATGATTGTTTATGGATTTTATTGAATGCCATATCCATATATCATGGCATTTTACTTGACAACCCAATGTTAAGAGAGACATTTCTCAAATCCATTTTACACTCAGCCACATGCAGAATAGATTTATCCAACCTCCAGTCATTCATAAGCAGCTCTCCCGATGCCCTGTTTAACCACTGCTAAACTTTGACAGGTTTCAGAGTAGCAGCCATGTTAGTCTGTAGTCGCAAAAAGCAAAGGAGTACTTGTGGCACTTTAGAGACTAACCAATTTATTTGAGCATAAGCTTTCGCTACAGCTTATGCTCAAATAAATTGGTTAGTCTCTAAGGTGCCACAAGTACTCCTTTTCTTTTTGCTAAACTTTGCTTTTCCTAAGGAGTCTTTGTTGCTCCACTGGGACATGCAGACGTTATTATATAGCTGAAGTGCCAGGGATGATGGTGTATTTTCACTTTTGTGATTTATAAGATGTATTAAATTTTACAAAAATTATAGAGCAATTATTATTACATATAATTACATTTATTATTAATTATTAATTATTATTATTATAAGTGAAGTCAATGGAGTTACACCACAGGGATGAATCTGGCCCATTATTTTTAGCGTACCGTAACAGTCTTTAGAGCATGTCTTCCTAAATGTTCACTAATGATTTGCTCTGAATAATACAGTTACAGAATTAGGGCCTGATCCAAAGCCTGGCTAAGCTAGTGGGAGTCTACTGACTTCAGTGGCCTTTAGATCAAACCCTTGGGGAGAACAGTAACAGACGCAATACATAATACAGTTACAAAACGGCAGAGGGAGATGGAGAGGAAGAAGAAAAGGCTATAGAGGTGAAATCTGAAAAGAGATCAAGAATCACTGAGGCAAAGACACAGGAAGGCTCGATTCTTTCAGAGGAAAGGACTCTTGTTTCATCAGTTACCTAGATTGTGGAGGGGGCAGAGAGCAGAGAAGGATAAGGGCCATGAAACCTGACTCATAGTTATATGTCAAATACGATTATGGAGTTCTGTATTTTGGGCCTGTAGTAAGGGGATATGAAAGTACTATGGCATCAGAAGAGTACAGTGTAAACAGAATTATACTCTAGCTACATTCTTTGCATTACATTAGTGCCTACAGGTCTCTAAGTAGGTGGGGCTCCATTGGACTAGGTGCTGTCTCTCACTGTGTGTCTCTACAATACCTGCCCCAAAGAGCTTCCTGCTTAAATAGACTGCACAGGGGTGGGGATGGGAAATGAGGCATATAGAGGTGAAGTGACTTTCTCAAGGTTACACAGCAGGTCAGTGGCAGACCCAAGAACAGAACCGCAGGACTCCTGAGTCCCAGGGAACTGCTCTAGCCACTCGATAACAGTGCCTTTATTTCTCGTGAGGAATGGGCTTGCAGAGGCTTCAGTCAGAATTAAAATAGCACCAGAGGGCAGTTAAGAAGGGAAAGTCTTTGGAATGTGCAGGAATGGGACGCTCTGAATCCTGGGCAACACTTAGCATCTGAAATGAGATGCTGCCTCTAAGTTTGCACTCACACACTGAGTACAATCCCCTGCACGTGCCACCCATAGAATTCTTCACTTGTGGGAGCCCGTGACAGGGCACAAAAAAATGTTCACGCAGCAGGTGCACTCAAGCGTTCAACGGTGTGTGCAAAAGACCCCGCAGAAAGCCAGCTCTGTGGTGACTCAAAGAACGCCATTCTCCGGCCTTCACGGGGCCACTTCAGGACTATGAAACTTTTGAGTCCCATGAAAAAGTAGGGGCTTAACTTAAGTGGGGCCTAAGGGGTACGTCCCAGCTCAAGCAGACAGACAGACGTGTCCTAGTTCTGCTCAAGCTCGTACACTACAAAGCAGCAGGGTGGCCAGGAGTAGCCCGGGCTAGCCAGCTGAGTACAAACCTGCCCAGCCCCCCGGATACATAGTTGGGTGGCTGGCCCAAGCTGCCAGCAGTGCTGCTGTGGCCACTACTCTGCTATTTTTAACCCGCGAGCGCAAGCTGAGGAAGCACATCTGATGTCTGTCTGCTTCAGCTAGGAAGCACACTCTGTGAGATGGGGGATTCCCAGAGTTGGGGGCGGGGGTCCCTAGGCCCAGCCATGTGCCTCAGCAGACAGCCACAAACCTCCCTCCTAGGAGGCTGGGAGTCAACCCCTGGCGCAAGCACCAGGTTAACAACACAACAACACGTGTATCTAACCCAGGAGCAGACCCAGGTCAGGTTCTCTGGTAGGAGTTACACAGCGGCGCCCCACCCCCGCCCTGCACCTCTCCTCTGGGGTTAGTCAAGCCTGTCTGCTGTGCACTCTGAGGCTGCCACGGATTGTGAGCTCAAACTGGTGTGTCTAGTATCTTGCCCTGTGGTCTCAGCTCTGCATGCTGCGGGTCAGTAAGATCCCCTTTGGCCGGCGGCAGCAGCTGGCAGCTCTCCTCCAAGCAGCTCCTAGGTCAGGTTCAGTCTCTCCCCAGCTCAGGGTACTGCTGCTCCTGCTCAGCTCTTTCTTTTCTCTCGCCCCATCTCAGTCTGACTCTTATTCCCTCTGCCACCCACCTCTGTTCATTGGCTCAAACCCTCCGAGCTGGTCCATAGTTAATGCTGGGTCCTTGTTTTTGGAGTGGCTTTCCCTCCCCCCACAGCCAGTCTCAATCTTTTCTTTTTCCTGCCTGATCCCCAACAAACTAGGAGTGGGAAGGGATCCTGAGGCTGACTCTTACCAAGTGGCTCCAGCCCCAACGGCCAGAGTCCTCTTTCAAACCCGGTGAATGCTCCAGCGGTGCCCCACATACCGTCTGGGACCTGGTTAGATATTTGCAGCTGTATTTCGCCAGTCTGCACACAGGTTTGCAGTTCTGGTGGCACATGTACAATCAGGCACCCAAGGGGTTATATTGCACTGAAGTTGGTTTCTACCTTTGGAGAACTGGCCCTGAGTGTTGGCGGGTCAAACCCTGCTATCGTCACCAGGTACATCGCGAGCAAAGTCTATGGATCTGTTTCTGCTATGGGTGAATTTGGCCTTGTAAAGACAAAGTCACTACTTAGGAGCTATAAAAATGCCCAAACTTTAGCTGAAGGGTTTCAGAATTGCCAGTGGGAACTCCCAGCTGACCATTGTGTTCTCCCTCTGCTTTGGAGGAGTAACTATGAAGTTAGGACTGATTCTGACAGTGCTGCTGAAGCTGCCCAGTGTAGGGTGGACCCCACCACCCTGAGGAGAGGCTGGAATGCTGGTGGGATTGTTACTGCTCATGCTCCAGCCAGCTTTGGGATGGCAGAGCTCTGTGTTGGTCCTAACGTACAGAAGTGGGGTAGTGGTTTCCCTTTAAATAGCTTGTGAACTCTCTATTGGCCCTCGTGGTCTTCTGTTTCAGAAGCCAGTGTGTATATGAGGCTAGGCTTTCCATGTTATTTATGTTTAGGATACACAGGTATTTGGACCATACTCGATCCATTGTGGTTCCCTCATATTCTGCGTAAGAAGCAAAAGACAACCCTTGAGCTGCTAGGCATGCAGCAGAACATCTTCCTTGGCTAACGCTGGGGTATTGGCACAGGTTCTTCACTCCTGTTTAACAGGAAACCTGCACCTTTCGTCTCTCAGACCCTCTCCAGCTATGCATCATTTCTGGCTTCCTTCCCTACTGCCTCCCCATTTCAGACCCAGCTGTTCGAGTAAGTGGTGAAAGGAGACCACGCTGACTTTGGGGCTGAGCAGTGAGGGATTCAGTTTTGCAGGAGGGCCTGAAATGACTGAACAGATGTTAGATGAGAACCACCTTGGACATTACTGAGCGGTTGATAAGATGTCCGAACAATACAGTAAATCAATTCCAGGAACTGGCAAGAATTTTCTTTTCTCTTGTTTTTCTCTCCTTTTAAAACCCATCCTGTGTTCCCAGGTTATGAGGATGAGGAGGCGAAAGAGCACGTCCTAGTTGATAACAAGTGTAAATGTGCAAGGGTGACCTCAAGGTTTGTCCCTTCTAAAGACAACCCCGAGGAAGAAGTCCTGGTGAGAAACATACGAGTCATGTAAGTGGCAAACAATGCTTGATTTGAAGTAGGTAAAGATGAGGTGACACGGCCCACCAGGTTCCTTTTCTTTGTCTCACTTCAGCATATTAGTTATGGGACATGATCGTGTTTCATTATGTCCTGGTTTTCATGTTATAGTGTAAGTAATTAGGATTTCATTGACACCCACCTAGTGCTCTAATGGGCTGTAGTGTATAGTACCGTAGACTAGTGGAAAATGGTCCAAGTCACAGTACATGTTGCTGAATTCCAGCTGCATGGTGCTTTTTCCATCAGTCCAAAACACAGCTCAGAAATGTTTCTGAAGGGTTGACAGTAGCTTTGTAAGATACACGGAAGGAGACAAGAGTAGCCTTTCTCCTGTCCTGATAATGAGGGACACTGGCTGGCACAGAACATAGGATTGCCATTCCAGAGTGGACTCCTGGTCCAAAAAATCTGAGAGTTTGTCCCTGGGAGAGGCCAATGCCGGATTTCTCAGGGAATGCCAAACTCCCATGCTGCAATCAGCTAATTAATTGTCTGCTCACAGGGCCTAATTCTGCACTCTTTACTCCCACTGAGTAAGGGACGTTTTGTCTGAGTAAGGAGGGCAGCACTGGAGCCCTGGGAGTTCAGGAAGGGCTCACTTTAAGAAAGGGAGCGAGTCAGTCACCCACCCACCCAGCCACCTGAAAGTGAGCTAGTCTCATATGTGTTGTGTCCCAGTTTCCACCAGCTCAAGAGAGGGCAAGAGGAACATCAGTGCCATGATGTCATTACTGAAAGCATAATCTGTGGCAAGTGGCACTTGTGGAAATTGTTCCATTACTCACTAGTGGCCTAACACGGTGCAATGCTTTGACACTCTCCAGTCTTTCCATGGTGGTGTCTGGCAATGATGCAAGAAAGACCCTGTTGCTCTTGAGGGTATTTGAAGGCTCAGTCAGGTATAACACATATCTGTTCTACAGATCAAGTATCTGAAACTTCATGGGGAGTGGAAGGGGAAGAGATGAAAATATCTGAACACAGAACAAGATAAGAACTTGGATTCTGTGAATCAGAATAATCATGACACATTGTGGAGCTTGCAGAATTCATTAATTTGTGGTCACTTGATAGTCCTGTTCTTTTTTTTTTCCCCTTAGAGTCCCCCTGTTGAGCAGACAGAATATCACTGATCCCACCTCACCAGTGAGAACCACCTTTGTCTACCGGCTGTCTGAGCTGTGAGTAATTGTCTTTACTGCATTAATTTCAGAACACTTTGCCCTTCCATCACTCTGTCCAAACATCAATGAATTAATCCTCACCACATCCCATTAGACAGATATGGGAATTGAGGGAGAAGTTTTGTGGCTTGTCCAAAGTCACGGGAATTCTGCTACAGAGCTTGGGAACAGAATCCCCAACCTCCACTCCAGTGACTTAACCACAAGCCTGTCCTTCCTATGGAGTGGAAATTCAGGATTTACCATGGTGAATTTAGGTGTAGAAACTAAACAAATCCCTTCATAAAAGGTCATTTTTTAAAATAGTGCCATGATGCACAGAGCACCAATACATTAAAATCCAATTCCCGTGTGAGATCATGGGGCAAAAGCAAGACCTTGACTTCTAGCATAGACAGTGATGAAGCTGACAGGGATCTCACCTCTGCACAGAGCCTGCTCAGGCTAAGGCTGACTCCAATGTGTGTGAGATTCAGTGTAAATGTAAGATGTTGGGTCAAATTCTCTGCTGCTCTAACTCAGGATTTTATCCTGAGTCTTGAAATATTTGGTGTTTTAAGTAAAGTTCCAGCTCCTGGAGTCCTGTGATCAGAGGAGAATCACAGTTTTCATTGAAGATGAAAGTGAATTTCTAGCCCTCATGGTTGCAGAGAAAAGCTTGAAAAAGTGACCCAACTGCACGCTGAAGGCTCAAAAACTGAAAAGCAAATAAAAAGAAACCCACGTTTATTGTTAACCAACCTCATCATTTTGGGGACCTGACTCATCATTTTTGAAGGTTTGGGGGCTGGCCCTGGTGCCAGACAATTGGGCCATTTGCTCCTAAATCAGGATAGGGCCTGGCTGCTCCAGCAAAGCCTGACTGACGTGTGACTGCCAAAGTAGCAATGAGGACTTGAGCCCTCTCCTGTGCGGTGGCCTCTTTCAGTGACCACTGCCTAACATGCATTCCATCCTATCTGTCTTCCAGCTGCAAAAAATGTGATCCCACAGAAGTGGAGGTAGGTGACCAGGTAGTTACTGCTGAGCAGAGCAACAACTGCAGCATTTCTGATACCTGCTACACCTATGACAGGAACAAGTGCTACACCACGACCTTCCCGTTTTTCTACGGCGGGGAGACCAACACCCTCCAAGCAGCCCTGACTCCAGAATCCTGCTACGCTAATTAGATTAAACCACTGCTGTTAGAGTGCCTGGTTATTCTGTAATCTGCCCCCACAGACCAAAACACATTTATGTTAGCATGGTAAGAAAGACAGTGTCTGAAATATCAGCTCCTCACAGTTAATGTGTTAGCTACATGAAAAGTAATGCCTTCCTTCTATAGCACACGGTGGTTATAAATATAACGGAATAGTTAAGCCAATTATGCCTGGTGGGAAAAATCCTATATTGTGGGGCAGATCCTCAGCTGGTATAAATCAATGTAACTGCCTTGAAATCATGGGAGCTACACTAACTTACCCCAGTGGGGGATCTGGCTTGGACAGTTTTCATTCAGTCCTCCTTCAGACAAGACTTTCATTACAGTCAGTGGGAGTTTTGCCCTAGTAACAAAGGCAGGATTTGTTCTTCTCTCTGTACATAGAAACAGTGAAATCCAAATGCCATGCCAGTGTTTGGATTCAGATTTCCACAATTATGTTTTCCAAAGCAATTTCTCCAATGTCATGGTCTTTTTGGTTAATACAATACCTTTTAGCCCCGAGAGATAACGCCACCGCACATAAAATATCAGTGTGCAATTTGAGATGGCCCCTTGTTTGTGTTCTTTTGGAAACCCCCCACTTAAATTATCTAAAGTAATCCTTTGCACAAACTTTAAGTAACACAAGACCATATTGTTACACTTCCACCTGCGAGCATAATAGAAATCAGTGCCATTATTGAGAAGGAGGCCATTCAGGACGGGGCTTTCAAAGATGCCTATGGGATTTGGAAACCCACTTTCTATTAATCCCTTATGTGGCTTTGAAAATCACATTCTCAGTGTATCTCAGCATATTTAGAGAAGACTGAAGATGCTGCTGCTCTTGAGTATTTTTAAATGATGCCAAAATATCATGTGTTACAGGAATGGTACATTATTCTTTCACTATATATTTGAGATTGAGCTACTGCCCAGTGATATTTCACTGCTCTGTGTTTCCATGCTGACAATTATTAATGCTGTCTCCAATTCATCTAACACTGTGGAGAACCACTTATTTCTTTCAGTTTAAAGAAATAAATAAATGGTCTAGGTCCTGATTCTGCATTCAGAGGTGCACCGGCGGCCTTTGGGCTTACACGATCTGATTGCAAGAATGGGGCCTTAGTTAGGGCTTCCTTCCAGTCCTCTACACCAGATTCCTTTCTCTTGTTTGTAGAAGGAATTCTCACCTATCAAAGAGGCTGATATTACGTCGCACCATTCATCACATTTGAGTGCGTCATACCTTGTGTTTTCACTAGGCAGTCATGTATGAAAGTCCATAAACTGTGTGCAGCATTACCCCTGAGAAGGCTCATACATTCCTCCCCATTATAAAAATTGGTTGCACATCCCTAGACTATTCTAAGAAACCCTGGCATATTTCGTGTTGTAACAAAATAGAGCAAGAGCTATGTACCCATGATTTCAGCTTTGTTAGCAAGATTGAAATAATTAAATAGATTTTTCTGCAACTATCTGTGTGTGAATTGTAAATGGTATTAAAAGGAAGAATCTGGTCTCTACTGGTTTTCCTCCAATCTTCAAGGTGAAGAAGAAGAATTTGCACTAAATAACTGACTATAGTTATGGCTCCATGTCTGTCACGGAGGTCGTAGAAGTCACAGATTCCCTGACTTTCCATGACCTCCATGATTTCTGCAGCGGCCAGTGAGGCTGATCCCAGGGCCGCCCCAAGCAGCTGGTTCTGGGGCCAGCTGCTCAAGTGGCCCCAGGGACAGCCACATGGGGTTTAGTCAGGGGTATTTTTAGTATAAGTCATGGACAGGTCACTGACTGTGAATTTTTGTTTATTGCCCATGACCTGTCCATGACTTTTACTAAAAATACCCATGACTAAATTGTAGCCTTAATTATAGTTACAGGCAAACTCATCGTAATGTATTGATTAGGTGCTTATACTTTTATCAAGGAATTTCAAAGATGCAATGAAGCTCCATTGCTTTATCATATCAAGATCCATCCTACATCAGTGTGAATGTTCAAAGTGCTCAACACATTGTATGAAAGGGCCACTGTGAGCCAGTTTAGACCCTAATCCTGCAGTTCATGTATGGCACAGAGGTGCACCCGCATGTTGTAAATTGCAGGATCTTACTGTGTGGCTGGCATAGTAGGTCTGTACAGCATGATTGCCTTCAAATAGAAACCCAAACAGTGCTTGTCATCAGGGCTGTCCATTCAAATCCAAAACACCTTCCCTACCGACAAGATGACAATCTTTATAGCACCCACATTTGGTCAACAAAATAAGAGGCCACAGAAGATTAAAATATCCTTTAGAGACAATTTATATCAGAGCCTGGCATTAAATGGCATACATGTCAAATTTTATTTTTTCCAGCTTATGAAATAAGATAGTTCATCAGATTAATTAAGAAATAAAAACACAAAGGAGGAAGAAAGCCTTCAAGATAAAATATTTCTATAGTGTACTGACATGGTTAAGGAGAAAGCACTCTTGACATCAGTGACTTTCTGGGTATGCAGTACTTCTGAAAGCCAGACCACTTATTTGGGGGCTAAAATGTGGACACAGGAAGTGGGAGCATCTTGTTGTGAGATTCTGGGCTTTTGCTAATGTCAGCGTATTAAGCATGTAGGAGCTTTGTGACACACAAGAGTACTGGGAAGAGACTGAATTTTATTTCCGGACTTCAGTCACCTGTTGGGTCAGGGTTACAAAAGTTCAACATTCCTTGTCTCAGGGCAGGGCTTGTGGTCCTTTCTGACTGTCAACAAATTCCTAGTGGTAAAATATCAGAGTAAGGCCTTTAAGACAGTGGGAGTTTTGGGTGTGCCTGGGAGTCACACTTGAATGAGACTGAGGATGGACAGTCCAGTGGTTAGGGCACTAGCCTAGGACTTGAGACACTTGAGTTCAATTCCCTGCTCTGCCACAGACTTCCAGAGTGTAGTGGATTAGCAGTGGTCACCTCCTCTGTGTCAGTGGGAAGCCAGTGGGCACTGCTCACGGTCAGGGAATTAGCGAAGTCTGGTGTGAGGCTCCGGGGGGAGCAGACTCACAGTTTGAAGGGGCTCTGGCTTTTAGGCTGTAAGCAGTCTGTGTGCTCCAGCCCTCAGGCAGGGCAGAGCAGTAAAGGTTCAGGGGCTCAGGTGCAGAGCACCAAATAATCGGGTGTCCTGGCTCTGGTGGGACGGTCGATAAATGCAGGCCTCTTTGCCTAAAGGGGGGAGGCTGCCATCCCAGGGGTGGAGTGGCGGGGTGGGGTGGGGGAGAAGAGAGACCCAGGCCCACCCTGTTCCACTGGGTCCCAGACAAGGGCCCTAAGAGTGGCAGAGGGCACTGGGTCAGCAGGGATCCTAGCCGCAACACACCGACCAGGTTTCAGGCAGCATTGGAGTTGGCTGTCACTAGGCCACTTCCTCCCCTCGGGGTGTACCTGGATCTGTGGGTGTTGACCGTTTCTCCGAGGTAGATGGCCAGCAGCAGTCCCAGTGACTTCTCGGTTGACTGGCAGCTCTGGCCAGCCCTCAGCTCGGCAGGGCTCCTCTTCGGTCACCAGCCTAAGGAATGGGCAGAAGGTGTCTGTCTCCTCCGGCAGCTGCCGCCCAACTGAGGTCCAGCACCTGCCCTTTATAGTTCTGGTTCCGCCTCTTAACTTCCGGTGGGAGGGGTGGGCACAGCCTGACTCTGCCCACCTGGGCTCAGGGAGTGGTCCCCCCTGCCCAGGGGGATTCAAGTGGACTTTACTGGAAGTCTCATGGGCAAAAGCTGGGGTAGTGCTTTGAAAATATAGGAATAACTGTGCCTATAGCTGGTTCTACACAACCAGAGCGGGGCGCGTGCTCTCAGAGGGTGTAAAAAACCCACCCAGAATACTATGCCCAATAAAGTGGGGTTAGAAGAAGGCACAAATTTGGTTTCAATGAACAAGACAGTCCCAGAAGACATGCAATAAGCCCACACTCATGAGGTTACCTCCACATCACTCACTAGAAGCCCTGTACTGCTTCTGTGAAGTCCATGGGAGTTTTCCCTTTTATTTCCAAGGGAGCAGAACTGGAGCCTAGGTCCCCAAATCCCTACTGAAGCGCAGTTGGGGGCGCGCAGTAACACCAACAGAGGAATCTAGTCTGGGGGGAAAAGCAAAGCAAAGAGGAACAGGAGGCTTTTCCTAGCAGGTTTACATGCTCAGACCCTCTCTTCTGTTTTAGCAAAAAGAACGAGGAGGACTTGTGGCATCCTTAGAGACCAACAAATTTATTTGACCATAAGCTTTCGTGGGCTAAAACCCACCTCATCTAATAACCATTTGTAACAGAGCAAGCCATCCCTGGGAGGTAGGAAACACCATGGGTGAAATCCTGGCTCCATTGACTTCAGTAGCACCAGGATTTCACGCCACATTTTTAAGAAAGCAGGACTGAGTCCCTCCAAATTGTTTATTCAGGACCCTGAGACTGAAGAAGGGGTAACTAGACCTCAGATTCCCCCTACCTGTTATCAGACGGGGTGGCCTGGGTTTAGGCAAAAAGCCCCAACCAAGCAAACAAACCAGCCAAACAGAAAACCGGCTGAGAGATTGGTCCTTCCCTGGTTGAAGAATTCACCCAGGGAAGTAATACAGAGCAGGCTCGCTCTACTGATGGAGTGAGGAAACAGTTCATCTCCTCTTAGCACAACATGCTGGGAAGAGGCCGTTTATAACACAGGCTCTCCTAGGTCTCTGTTCGTGTCAGAGGAGGAGAGCGCTTAGGTGCTGCCTAGCGAATCTTGGAACACGGATGAGGGATACGTTAATTGGCAAAGACTTTAGATCATTATGTAGCTTGCAGGACTGGGATATGTGAGTAATCGTGTCTGATGCAATAGACATAACTGTCATTAAAAAAATATTCCATCTCTGTTCTTTATCTAACCACTTCGGTGAGGCAGGGCTTCCTGCTGCTGCTGCCACCACTGTGGTAGGTGGTGCCCCCTCCTGACATCTCTGCCGTTGGCCTATCAGATCAGACATGGTTCTTTTCCAGGGCATCTCCCATTTGCAATAATTTCTGTGTCAGGACCCATAGGGATGTATTGACAAGAACTATTTTTGTCCCTAGACACTGGGAGGGAGGTGAGTTTGTTGTCCTCATTTTAATTTGTAACTGCGTGGGGCTGCTCCCACTAGTTTGAGATGAAGAAAGAGATTTTTGCTAGCTTTTTAGAGACCCTTTTAGTAAAGGGAAGTCTACGTTTATTCCAAAGCTGGAAGCAGGGTTGGCTGGCTGGACAATCTGCGGTAAAGACTGAAATGTACATCCAGATGAACGGAACAGGGCCCTGCTCCTCAAAAATGCTGCCAGACTGCAGCGAACTAAGTGTGGACAACAGAGATCAACCAAGGCTGGCCAGGCCAGATGGCAGTAAAAATCTGCAAGGAAAAAGCACATTAAGGGGCTATAATGTAATGCACATTCTGCATTCAGCTCTGTCCCCAGAGCTCCCTTCAGCCAGTTACACTGCTCTTCCAGCTTTTGTCCCCTCACAAAATTATTCCTTCCTCCTTCATTTTCCCTCCTCTGCCTCCCTCTAAGGTGCCTGTAAAACACAGGAGGCAGTTCAGAGCTGCACTACCCCACTGGGAGCTGCAGACATATAGGCCAGCAACAAATTTCTACCTCCCCCTCCTTCTGGTGCCAGTGGCTCCGGAACAGTTTTTGGAGTCGGGGTGCTGAGCCCCTCTTAGCCCTGTCCATGCCCCTCACTGCCGCATAGAGCTGGGGCCGGGAGCAGGGCTGTGGCTCTGGGAAGAGGGGACGCAGACAGGGATAAGGCGGCAGAGGCTGAGGCCCCAGCTAGAGGCGGGTGTGGAGTCCCAGGCATGGGGCCGGCAGCCAGGACCTCTCATGCAAGGCCAGTGGCCAGGATCCCAAGGCTGACGGCCAGGACCCAGGGACCAGTGGCCGGGATCCAGGAGTCGGGGGACAGGACCTTGGGGCCAGCGGCCGGGACCCTGCATCCAGGGCTGGTGGCCAGGTGGGACCTTGGGGCCAGCAGTGGAGCCTCTGGGCATGGGGCCAGTGGCTGAGCGGGACCTGGGGCAAGTGGCTGAGCGGGACCCGGGGCTGGCAGTGGAGCCCCCGAGCAGCAGAGGGGACGGCGGCCGGGATGATAGGCAGCAGAGGTGCAGGGCCAGTGGCCGGGCACAAAACCTGGGGGTGCTGCAGCACCCCCCGCACCGTTATTACCCACACCTATGCCTGGTGCAAACAGTAAGCAAGGCAGAAATTCTGCCTCTGAGGCCCGGTCTTCACTAGAACTCTTGCTGATACAACAACATTGGTTAAAGGGAGCGATTTTTCTTTTAAAATGAATTTCTATACCAGTAGAAGCCATAGCGTAGACAGTGTCCTAAAAGTGTTTTTGCCGTACAACTTATTTCACTTGGGGAACGGTCATACGCTACACTGCCCAGAGCACTGGGCGGGTTTCCTCTGAAGGCAAAGCTTGTCTAGCGTAGACTTGGTTTGAGACACTATGCCTCTTGGGGGTACCTAGATTGGTAACATTTATGCACCTAAAGAAATAATCTAGTTGCTGGATTGCAAGCTCCTTACAGGAGAGGACAACTTCAACTTCCTTCTGCTCTGTACAGCAATGAGTACTTAGCAAGTAACAAACCAGACCATGATTCTTAACCAAATTAGGGCAGCAGAATCGAGCTGAAATCTCTCGAATGTAACCGGGTGTCCCAGCCAGCTTTTACCGTGGCTGAGCAGCAAGGACAGCTGGAATGTGTCTGGAATTCATTAATCCAAGTAGTTCTCTTTAAACTATATTTGACTAGCAACTTCTAAAGAAGGAAACAATCAACCTATCTTCGAGATGACTATTACGGGAGCTTCCAGGAGCAGCTTCACGAGTTCTTCTGTTTCTTGTGAATAAAGTCCGAACTCTATGTTAATTAACAATTGTGGAGGAAGATCCTTCTCTGATCCTCTCGGGTCTCTTCAGAGACTCTTTCTTGTAGCCCTTTGAAGTCCGCTCTTGTGCTCCATTAGCATCCCCGGCAGCCAGCATCCGCAGAAGGAACTAAAACAAAACATACATACATACTCACACACACACACACACATATACACACACACACAATTACCAGCAATGCACTTAAATGGCTGATTGTTTAATACAAAAATATTTTAAAGAAATTGCAGGGGATCAAGAAACCAGTGTGATTTGTGTTTACATATAGATTTTTTTTTTTAATGAAAGCAGTTTAGACCTGATGGAATGGTGCCTGATAGCCCACAATAATGAAATTTTCTGTATACTCACAGTTATCATACAGGTAACAACAGAAGTGCAAGCTTCCCTTATGCTTACACCTTTATAAAAATCCTGTCCAAATGGCAGCAGCACTGTTCCAACACAGCTATTAACAGCAGGGTTTAAGCTATTTCCCTAAGCAGTGCGTATTTTTTCTTAGTTTTCTTAGGGAGAACTGATTTATCCAAGCTGTGTTAACTGCCCTGGGGACAAATGCAGGCTTGGTATTAGCAGTCTGGCTATATGGAGTGGCATAAACTTGCATCAGGGTTTTGAATCTGGCCCCCGAGCTAAGAGCACTGTTTCTGGCTTGCTTGAGCAGAACCAAACCACATTATAGCATGGTACCCGGATATGTTACACCTTGTTGTGTGGATGGGGCCCATAAATTACACCCATTGCTCATGCATAGCATGGCTGTATGACCAGCTTCTCATATGGGTCTGAGACTAAAGATCCCTGTCCACGTGGGCGAGAAACAATGGAGCCTGAACAGAGCTACAGCTGATTCCTGAACACACAGACCTAGGGCACCACGGCCCATACCGTTGTGATCATATCGACCAGCTGTTACACTCTCACTGACTCACCTCAGGCTTCCGGTAGCCCTTCCTTTCGAGGAATTCCTTAAAAGCGTGTGTTCCATGGAGCTGCATGAGCTCTGCCTCCTAGGGGAATTTCCAAAATAGACTTGAACAGCTTCTTATGAAGGGAAAATTTAAAATAAGCCCGTGAAACTTATTTTTATTTACACCCTCATTGAGTCAACCACAAAGGGGATTTCTGTGACATTCTCATCACTACAACAAACACCAATTAACCATTAGGCATTTTAATTAGCTTAACTGATTTCTGATTTGCTGTTTTTATAGAGATCTGGTTACTTCACAATCCTGAAGTGTGATTTTTTAAAAATAGATCAGAATCAAATTTATGGTCACCTAGCTTGACCTCCTGTATAACACAGGCCATAGAACTCACCCAGGAATTCTTGCAGAGGAGGAAATTATTCTTCCTTACTATGTAAGTGAACACTATCGAGCCCAATAAGTTGCGGTTGAACTGTACCTTGTTTTTCAAGAAATGCCTTATCAAATCAAGGATCAACAGATTTTGTAAAGTTTTCAGATGAAGCAGACCTCCCATCCTGCTCCTAACACAGGATCTGTTTCAAAATTACCTCCCTGGGCTTTGCCTTTATTGTTATCTTAAACAGAACTAACAAACCCAAATCTTATTCTCCGCCTAAGCATTCTCTTGACCTTGGTTGTCTCCATCAATTTTTCCTTGCAGGATTCCTCTGTCTCTAACCTTCATTCTCAGAGACATTCAAACCTTCTTGTACTCCTGGTTTGGAGCTAACAGAACCTATCTGGTCTGATATCAGAGTGAGTCAAAAGAAGCCCTTTGCATCTTTACGAAGGATCCTAGAATCTGATGCTGTCTGACAGCTTTAAAGTAGAAAACACTGAGACTGCTACTTATTCATTGTAATTCAACAAACCAAGATTGAATGACAATCATTGTTTTAAAAATCTGATCCCCTCTTTCAAAGTGAGCAATTGCTAAACTCTTGACTTTAACTTCAGAAGCACTGCCCTCTAGTGGGCCAGGGCTATCTTTACTGTTCCTTAAACATAAATCTAGGGAGTCTGGGGGAGGTTAGCACCACTTGGACACTTGTTTGCTAGAACAAAACGTAAAAGCCGTGATCACAGAATGAGTCCCTCTGCTGTTCACCGTCAGTCTGATAATAATGCTCGACCTTCTGTGTAGCACTTCATCATAGCATTTTTTATGACTCATCACATCCCCTAAGGTAGGTAAGGGGGGAGTTGTCTGTTTACATCCATGATGAATTTGAGCCCTTGTTTATATGGGTGGCTATTGCAGCCAAAACCCAATGCTTTCTGAGCTGACATGTCACATGCCTGATCCCTCCCAGGAAATGAATTTTTCCCACATTGGAAAGGATCTGGTTAATCTGCTTATTTACTCAAGCAAATCACTCTCACCCGCATTAAAGAATCACTTGAATTAAAACAAAATCCTTCAGAATAAATGCTGGTTTGTGTGTACCTGTCTTTTACAATCTCAGCCCACATACAGGCACTGCTGTGCCACCATTTAGTGTGGGCTAAATTAACTGCCATGTCTGGACCACAACTGTGAGTGTGTCAGACAATATATGATGTGCAGGCGTATTCCAGTAACAATGTAAGTCCATTAACTTGGTTGAGAACTATACCACAGAGATTCCAGGGGTGCTTGCAGTACCTTTTCACCAAACTGGTTCCTTAAATTCTGAAAGGCATCAACTGCTGTGTTTGGATCCTCTAAAGGTTCGTTTGCTCTCTGTTTTCTCCATGTTTTTGGTTCAAGGTACCAGGCTCCATACCTGATCTTCTCCCATTTTGGTTGGGATGGATCCTGTAAAAAGATAATTGGTAATACTCTCTAGTCATGTTTGTGTTTGCCTCTCCTCCTACCACGTGTATGTGAACCACTGCTTTTGTCTGGATGGAATGTCAGACCTCATGAACGGATGGGATCCGGCACTCATTGAATGTGAGATGGATCCAGTACAGCTGATTATGTCTCCATTGGTATCTACAGCAGGTATAAGTCCTAGCCCTGCTAGAAGTGTGAATGTTTCATTGGTTATCTCTAATAATTACCAGCTCTCATTGATTTTTCTTTGTATTGCAACAGCATCAGGCAAGGATCCACACAAGACAGCAATCCACTCACAGAACCCCTCCCTTCATCCTAGGCAGGCAACCACCGCGTGGTTCTCATCTCAGACTTGTTAATTTTGTGGATGATCAGGGATGTCTCAGAGAATCACAGCTCTGGAGTCACTGACCTAGTGAATGTCTTTCCCTCATGGTCTCTAAAGCAAAACTAGCTACAATTTTGGAGAAGCAGTAGTCTCTCCATAGCTCCATTTGTGATTTGCTTTCTGTTATAAGCCTAGATCTAGCCCAACTTTGCCCTCTCCCCTAAAATTGTCAGAAATGTCACTTCCTCTTCAGATTTGACACAAGTGGTCTGTGGCTAGTAGATAACGTTTTGCCCAAGTTTTAGGTGATTAAGATGAAAGCGTGTAGCAAGAAAAGCCATGAACAGGAGGGGTTAGAATTTGTAAGTTAAAAGGTGGTCATCCTGTACTTTTTACTTGAACTTGCTCCCCAGTCCTCAGTCTGCAAGTTACCCCAGCATAGGTTTCAGAAGGTCTAAATATACCATCTCACACCACTGCTGAATTTGGCCCATTGGCTGGGAGCCTGCAATTCTGGACCTGATCCAAAGCTTACTGAGTTCAACTACAGTCTTTCAATTAACATCAGCGGGCATGGATCAGGTACTTTATACAAGCAAAACTTCTGAGAATCAGTGGCAGTTTGGCTGGTAAAGGGACTGTACGGTTAGGCCCTAAATGATGTTCCCAGTTCCCATCTTGCCCTTTTTCTAGTGTATTGCCCCATGCAAAAATAAGCGTCCACAAATGTTCAAAACAGACAGCGCTTTTAAGTGCCTCAATTTTTGGTGCCCAGCTTCAAACACCTTAGAGGAACCTGTTTTTCAGAAGGCAGGTACTCAGCACTTCTGGAAAACCAGGCCCCTTTAACATATCAAGCTGGGCACCCAAAAATTAAGGCTCCTAAAATAACTAGAAACATCTGAAAATGTAGGTCCAGGCCTATTTACCTTGGCAAGGCATGGATGGCACCTGGTACGAAGAGGACTCTTGACAGCAGTCAGTGGAGGTGAAACACTCACATACTTTCTCAGCTCTGCTGGCACATTGTTTAGTTCCACAACATGGATGGGCACAGACAGCACCAGCTTGCTTTCATATCCAGTGTCAAACAAGCTCAGAATGGTGGCTTCATCCACTTTGTATTTTTCTCCTCCCTGCAGTAATAACCCAAGTGCACAGCGTAAGAGTGGGAGAAAGTGGCTTCTCTCCCTGTCATTCTGGTTTGGTTAGCCCAGCACTTATATCCCCAGACCTCATCTTCCTTAGGATAGCCAAGGTAAATCTCTCAAGCCACAACTGATTTCTGCTGATTCTATTGATTTTTACATGTTTAAAATGTGCCCTTCATAGTAATCTGTAGGCACATTTAAAGTTGATTTAATAACCATACACGAATTGGTGAACTAATGTTGATCAAATAAATGGATGTGACTACAGAATGGCGCAGCTATATGAAATCAGACAAGTACACTACGTCCCCCTCTGCAGGAAAATGCTCTGAGTAAACAAATTGACATGACAGTATTCCAGAATAAGCCATTTGTTGTTTGCTTGCTTTCCAGCTGGTTGAGCTCAGTTATGCCCCAAATGTTCCTGTACATTAGGACGAACATTTCCAGACTTGGGTGCCTGAAGCTAAGCATCCAAAGTCCTATTTAGGTTCCCAAGTCTGGAGAACATTGTCCTCAATCGTGATCACTGCATTTCTGGAATGAGAGTGTGGGGTTTTACAGGTTCTTTTACTTACCAAAGAAGCCACCCAGTCACAAAACTCCTTAGTCACTCGCCTTACGTTCTCATCCAGGGGAGGAATGTAGCTCAGATTGGCCTCCTTTTCCCTTGCTGCTACTTCTTTCTTGGACAGGTAGGTGCACTGCGGATTCTTGTCTTTGGACTCTTTGCTACTTAAGATATTAATGTCATAAAATATCATCTAAATGTCTTTGATTAGCACAAACAAGACACAGTAATAACTGGCACAACACAGTAACTACTGCAGAGGATCACAAAAAACTTGTGTTTATCTTGGATCACAGATGGTCCAAATGACTTGCACAGTTGGGAATAAAATAGCACAGTGATTTCATGCATTAAATTTTCACTTCTGGAGGACTTGGTTCAAATTGGTCTCACAAACATAGGGAAGCCACCTATCGTACACCTAGTGAGAAAGTCCCATGTTTTGAAGGCCAGGCCTGCATTCAGATCTGCATTTTTGTGAGGGAAAAAAGTAATCTGGCTAAAAACAAACAACCCTTCAAATTGGCAAATGACATATGTCTGTTACTACCCCATTCTGTCACTGTAATCTTCATCCTCCCTTACCTGCTTGTTGTATCACTACTTAATGTCTTGTCTTGATTTAGACTGTGAACTCTTCTGGAGTTGGACTGTCTCCTTGTGGTTTTGTGCAGCACGCGGCACAATGTGACCACATTGCTGATATCGGCCTCCGGGCAAGACTAACTCATGCATTCTAGGACATCTGTTTATACCCAGTATAATCTGAAGAATGCAAGTAAGGGTATTTTGTGATCATAGAACCATAGAATATTAGGGCTGGAAGAGACCTCAGGAGATCATCTAGTCCAATCCCCTGCTCAAAGCAGGACCAACTTCAACTAAAAATACCATCCCTTTGGTATCGGATTTTGTTAAAAAGGTTGACCCAAGAAATATTTTTCAGGAAAAGACACAAGGTGTTTCTCAGAACACTGACCACCTCAAGCTATATTTTGTGCGTCTAGATGACTCCCAAACTCCTTTTGGACACACCAGTAAAAAATACTGTACAAAGGTTACAAATATGGAAAGGATATGTGACAACTGTCCATCTCTGCACAGGAAAGTACCAGGATTGACATAGCTGGGGGCTATGTGTCAGGATTAAGATGTATTTGCAGAAGAGAGTAATGTGGGGAAACTTGTTTTGCGCTATGTGCCAAGCTCTGTGCTGACTTTTGTCCCATGAAACACCACTGACTTTGTCAGGGTTACGTGGGGTGCACATCAGCAGAGAATTCACCTGTGTCTGGCCCTAGTTGGCACCGTTACCATATCACATGTGTAAATAGACACTTTAAAAGTCATGCATCGGCCATGTTTGTTCTCCACCTATCTGGGGAACATGGGTTTCCACAGTCACTCCCTGACCCAGTTCTTCTGCATGGCTGTGAAACATGCTTTCTGACAGGCAAGACTCTCTGAAGGTGAATTGGCACAGAGTATGGAGTACCCCCAGCCTTAGAAACAGGCAACTCCTCTCTTTCAATACAGCTACATTCAGAGGAGAGAGATTGGACTGAACTGAACCCAGGCCCAGCAGCAGAAGGTGGATTCAGTTGGCCCTGGTGCTGCACGCACTGTCCCGTCCAGTACTCACAGTGCTGATGGCCTGGGACACGCTTCTTTACTTTTCCCATCCTCCAGCTGATACAGCACTTGCTGAGGAGCGCGGCTCTCCTGGTCACAATCCTCATATCCACCTTCCCTATTCAAGCGCATCTCAGGATCCAGGATGCCCACAACCTCTTCGAAAAGCTGAGAGCCAAACAAGAACAGAGCATGGTATTCACACCAGCACAGTTCCTATGGAGACTGCGTAAGGGGGCACATTACAAACAGAGCCCCTGGACAGCATAGCAATGACCACATGGAATCAGTCCTATTGTCCATTTAGTACACTCACCTGTCCCAGACACCAGATGCCTCAGAGGAAGGTGCAAGAAACCCCTCAGTTGGCAGATGTGGGATAATCTGCCCCCATGAAGGACTCATCCAATCCCCCACTAGTTAGAGATTGGTGTCATACCTGAAGCATAAGCTTTTACATCCCTTCCAAAACCTTGTTTAGCATTAACTACTGTATCTCTGGATAGTTATCCATATAAATGTCCAGTCCTTCTTTGATTCATGCTAAGCTCTTGGCCTGAACAGTATACTGTGGCAGTGAGTTCCACAGTCTACTCATACATTGGGTGAAAGATTTTTCTTTCATTGGTTTTGCATTTACTGCCTTTAATCTCATCAAAAGTCCCTTTTTTTCATAACCCAAGGACAGAAGTTGAGTCTACGCTGTGACCTGGGGTCTCACTGATCAGACCCAAGATTCCTCATTTACCCCTCAAATTTTGAAGAGTTCACCTGACACACTAAATACACTCTCCTGATGATCTTACTGCTTCTTAACCTTACCCCAGTACGTTCCTCCATAACATTCTGCCCTGACGAGGAGTATGCTTGCCATGAACTCCTCTCTCCCATGCCCCTCTCCCAACACGAGACTAACCCTGGCCCTTTGCCTGGTCCCTTCCTCTCCAAATGGCCATGTTAACTCTCCCACTCACCTTCACTGTCTTCCCCCAGCTTGCCTGTACAGAGTCCCTCTGAGCTCTGTACCAGAAGCTCCCTGCCCCAAACCCGAGGTAGAACTGTGTGCTGACTACTCTCTGCTGCTTCTTTGCATGAGGCAGGGAATGGGCAGGGACAGAGGCTGAAGGAAGATGGGGCTCTTCAAGAGACAAGCTGGGGAAGAACGGGAGTTGGATCAGGTCAGGACTCGCTCTGGTGTCTTGGTCAAACTCTTAGCTCTTTCATTTTGAGCAGAGACACTTACTGTCATGGAATGTCCAGTGATATCTGATGTCTGGTAATAACTTAATTTTGGCTACCTAAATACAGCCTAAATACAGCTCCGTGTGCTTGACTTCTAAAGCAGCCCTTTTAAAATAATGCTTTCTCATGTTACATTTTGACAAAGGAATGGGGACAGGGTCACTGACTGCAAATAATGTAACAAAACTCAAAACTGTTGCCAGTTCAGATCTCTCGCTATTATTAAGATCATTCACCTTGCCATGATGAGTCATATATTCTGCAGATTTTCTATATAAGGAACAGCTGACAACTGGGTTATTTTTGTGTTTAAAACTTGCCAGAAGGACACTTGTCTGAAAGAAGAACAGCAGCAATCACAGGGCCTTTACCTCTGGAGGGACGCTTTCTTCCAGATGAGGGTAGAGTGCTAGGGGGTGCTGGATCAGGCAGTATTCTGTCTGTGCAATGTGATCCCGCCTAGATTTCTGCAATGGACTGAGCTTGGAAGGGCTGACTTGGGTTTTGGTGCACTTTCTCCTTCCCTTCTGCTGGGCCATGCGTGAAGCATCAGATGCGGGATTACGCAGAACAATCGGTACAGGCCCCTTTGTGCCACAGATGAAGATGTTGTCAGATGGCGGAGGGAAGCCGCTTCTGAAATCATCCAGGTCACTTTTCAAGAATCTCCAGCGCTGGCTGTTAAGGGAATCCGAGAACTTCCGTTTGTTGTGTTCCTGAAAGTACTTAGATGGCATTTTCCCCTGGTACCTGAAAGCAAACACTTCTGGTCGGTGCTGAAAGTAATGGGGCTTTTAATTAAGCACATGAACATCACTGGAGTCTCTCTGGTGTTCTTATTTGCAGTGCTGTTAAACATTCAAATTCCAAAGGGCTATGCAACTCCACCATGTTGGCACATATTGTCCAGGGGAAAGCCTCTTCCATCACTCAACCTCAGAGAAAAGCTTGGCCAGAAGAACTGCTCTAGGGGAAGCTGGTAGTTGACCCTATAAAGTAGAGCTGGCCAAATGACATAATTGCCATCCTGGGGAAATGTTGACATTTGGTTTTGTCCAAAATTGGGACAAAAATGTCAAATTCTGGGAATTTTTTGCAAAATGAAATATTCTGACATATTTCATTTTTATCAAAAGCCTTGATTTAGATAAGTTTGAAACATTTCGTTTCTACTTTATCATTTCTACTGATATATTATGGTTTATATGTTACAGTTTTTTTAATGCATAGTATATTATATGCTATAGAACCTCAGAGTTACAAACACCAGAGTTACGACCTGACCGGTCAACCAAACACCTCATTTGGAACCGGAAGTATGCAAGGCAGCAGCAGAGACCAAAAAAAAAAAAAAAAAAGAGGCAAATACAGTGTAGTACTCTGCTCAATGTAAACGACTAAAACTAATAAAGGGAAAGCAGCATTTTTCTTATTCATAGTAAAGTTTCAAAGCTGCATGAAGTCAATGTGCAGTTGTAAACTTCTGAAAGAACCTCCAGAACATTTTGTTCAGAATTATGGACATTTGAGAGTTACGAATAACCTCCATTCCCATCATGTTCATAACTCTGAGGGTCTACTGTACTATCAAAATTGAAGTGATCGTCAAACCAAAACGATAAAGTCAAAATGAAATGTGATAATTCTAGCAAAAGCTTTGTGGAAATTGATACATTCCCATGACACTTTTAGATTTTGTCAAATGTGCATTTATGTTTTTTTAATGGGAAAACTGTTGGTTGGAAAATATTTGACCAGTGCTGCTATTCAGGTTGTCATTACACCTCATTGCTATGTGACTTCAATGCCCGGGACGTTGGCAAATTTTCACTACTCAGGCTGAAATCAGTCACTCATGGTCTGTGCCTCAAACTGAAATTATTTTTTTTTAAGTTTCACTGAAAATGATTTAGTCATTTCTAAGAACAAGATCAGGGACAACAGTAGTTTTACCAATTTAGAATTTATGTGGTTGTTGTTTTTTTTTAATAGCTCTAGGGCAATTTTTTTCAAAAGCACCAAAGTCCCATTTTCAAAGCAGACTTAGAAAATGGGGAATCTAAGTGCCATTGACTTTCAATGAGGTTTAAGTGCTTTTACAGTTTCTGCCCATAATGCCTCAATGGTTTGGAACAGAACTTGCAATTTGGCAGGGAGATGGTCCTGCGGTATGAAGTGTTACCAGATTTGGCTAAGTTATAAGACACAGAAAATCACTATTTATGTGCTAGGTGTCAGTGTGTTTGGTTGCTTTTTGTTTGCAAAAGTTATTTTACCAAGTTATTAAACAGAAGACCAAATATATTCCAGTCACCTAAGGCTAGAGAAGGAAAGGGGAAAAAATTGATGGCAATCTGCTTAAAGGAAAGGGCAGTTGGAGGATCACACCAGTTCACCAGATCAGGAACATTTTCAGATCAGTGATATTTCCAGTATACAATAAATCCTATGGTTTAGAGTGGAACTTTCTTCTGCTCTTTCTCCACTTCCAGTGTAATATTGTTTTATTACAGGCCAGCCTGTCTGGAGATGCTCCCTGCTACTGTGTGTCTCTTCATTGCTAACAAACCTTTGCAAGGAAATGGATTGTTTGCTGAAGCCCGAGCCCCACTGCCCAGGGCCGAAGCCAAAGCCCAAGGGCTTCCACCCTGGGTGGCAGGACTCAGGTTACAGGCCCCCTGCCTGGGGCTAAAGCCCTTGAGCTTCAGCTTGGCCCCCCTGCCTGGAGTGGTGGGCCTCAGGCTTTGGCCCCCCCACCCACGGCAGTGGGGCTTGGGTGGGTTCAGGCTTCAGTCTCACCTCCTGGGGTCATGTAATAATTTTTGTTGTCAGAAGGGGGTCGCGGTGCAATGAAGTTTGAGACCCACTGGATACTATCAATTCCACAGAGTACAGTTACCACTTATGCAAAGTGGGACAAGTTGATTAGATTCTCTTTGGTCTATTAGAAGAGGGTTCGTGAGCCAAGGGATTTCTTTTACTCGCTGGCTGCTATTGTTACATCATACATGACCATGCCCTTCCCTACGGCCTACAAAGCTGTTGACAGCACTTAGGGAAGTGAGGCCTGCACATCCCACTACCTGCAACAGATACACTTAGGGAAGTGTTAACTGTCCCATTGCAGGGCAATGGTTAAAAACAGCTGTTTGTCAGTGAGAGCAGGAGGCGTGACAGTAAGGCCCACACAGAGACTTTCTGCAAGGAACGTATATAGGGTGATATGTAAATTTTGCTCTCGCAAAGCTGACAAATGGATATTATCACAGATAGCTTCCCAGTAGGGGGTGTTATAGTAGGCCAGCGTGCTCATAGAGAGGATAATGTCTAGGAACTTGGAGAACTCTTGATGAGAGGGCAGCATATGGAGGAAGAAATAAAGCCTGAATGTTACAATGTCTTGGGTTCTCTCACTTACTATGCTCGAACACTGACTGGTCGAGTCTACGGGTATGTGCAGTGTTTCACCCCAACTTCCTGTCACAAGGCCTCAAAGTATAAAAACTACAGGGTCCAGTAAGGCAGGGCATCTCCCATTCCCTTGGTGGAGCTAGGGGCAGGTTTAAAGTGTGGTTCTGGGGGAGAAGGCAAGAGGAAGGCCTGGGGATGGCTGCCTCTATGTGTCAAGATCTCAGGGAGCAGGGATGGAGTGAAAGGGTTTTACTATGTTTTACCAAGTCCCAGGGAGAAATAGGAAAGTAAAACCCAACTGAAGGGTGTGGACTACGGGGTTGGTTTCTGTTTTCCTCTTGCGAATTGCCTTGATCCTAAACTAATTGACTTTCACTTTGGACATATGCGGTGGTGGAGTGGTTTTCTGGAGCAGAGATAGCGTACGCGGTTTGCCGCCAGCGAGACGCTATTACAGGTCAGGCTCTAGCCAAAACACCCAAACAAGCAGTGGTAGCTTTATCGCCCGGAGAGCAGCTCCCGGCAATAAAGGGCCGTCTATACTGGTGCTTTTCAGCGCTAAAACTTTTGTCGCTCAGGGGGGTGTTTTTTGACACCCCTGAATGACTAAAGTTTTAGTGCTGAAAGTGGCAGTGTAGAGACACAGCCTTAGAGAGTGCAACAGGGAGGCACAAATGCAAGGGCGGACAAACCATCTTGTTTACACCCCACCCTCTTCCGAAACAAACATATACAGATGTTAGATCTTAAAGTTACATTTAAAATTAATACTTTGAGGGTCCTTTTGTTTTTTGAACCATTGGCATCAAGTTTTTAAGCTTTTCTCTGCAACTGGGAGGGCTATAAACACGTGATGTTTTGTAATGAAAGCTGAGGCTTTAAGGCAGTCACATGACTCTAAGAGCTGGGGATTTAAGAAATACCAAGCAGTGTGACACTCACACTAAAATCAGGAGAGTTGGCAACACTGCCAACAGCAGAGACCAGATTTGTTTGGAATAATTGTGGAGGCCATCATAACACAAGATAAAGGTGTCCATGAGACATGAGAGGGGAATAGTATCCACACAATAAAAGCCAGTTTGTAAATGAGTGGTACTTGGATAAATTAGAGAAATGCAAAAGTGAAATACTGTACATGCATAACATACAGGTGGAGGACAAGACTCTGAAGACGATGCAGAAACTATTCTTTGTTCAGTCTCTTAATACACGTACAAAGCAAGGTTTTAGACATCATTTTGTTATGTGTGAAACAAAAAGTGAATTTCGAAACAGATAATGGCGCTGCATGCAATGTAACGTAATCACAGCAAGCACATACCAAAGGATTAATGACAGGGAAGTGCCAACTGAAATCTAATCCTGCTTCATATAGTGAGCATAATGAGCCCTTGTGCCAAAGTCACACTGGCATATCTTTTTATAGGAATACCACTCTGTTTGAAACTGTGGAAAGGGGAAGTCCTATGTTCATTTGGTTGAAGAACTGTGTACAAGTGCATCTCTTCAAATCACTGTGTAACTTGTCTAGTGAACAGAGTACAAAAAATTATTCTAAGAGAATCTGAGGCTTAATAGACGGGGAGCATTAAGGATAGAATATATTACATTATCTAGCTCCTAAAATACCCAGAATACATGCACCATGTAAAATCCTATTAGTGCAGAGAGAGAAAGTAAAAGCTGAATTTGGCTGGAAGGTAAAATTAAATTTTATTCAGCAAATTCAGACATGGAATTGACTGGACTAACAGTATTGTTAGACTGATAAAACCAAACAAGCTAAAGAATTGTGTATAATTATACTACACATTTGCACTGGCAGATTCATTTTCCCTGTTCAACCCAGTACTCAATTTTGTTTTGATCATAAATCGATGTCTAATTATATTGCAAACTTTCTGACTTGCTGAACACTATGGAATAGGGTGACCAGACAGGAAATGTGAAAAATTGGGACTTGGGGGGGTGGGGAGATGGAATAGGAGCCTATATAAGAAAAAAGACCCAAAAGCAGGACTGTCCCTATAAAATTGGGACATCTGGTCACCCTACTATGGAATTACAATACTAACCCTACGGTTTTCATTTTATTTTTGTTTTAAATGAAATGTGCAGAACTGGGTTTCCAAGCTGAGCCGTATGTGTGGATACAGAGAGAAAGAGAATTGTATTCTTAAAAACAGATGCCGCTTTAAAAAAAAAAATAGACAGACATCTTCTTTTTCCTGCGTCACCATTTAAAGGGCTTTAGTACGGAATGTCACTGAGATGAAAGATGGTCTGGTGGTTAGGGGGTTAACCTGGGACCAATTCCCTGCTATACCACAGACTGTGGGTGTGGCCTTAGGCAAGTCACTTGGCCTTCCATGGGGATAATGGCACTGCCCTACCTCACAGGCTGTTGTGAGGACAAAAGCATTAAAGATTGTGAGGTGTTCAAATGCTATGGAGGCCCTATAAATACTTTGAGAGACTTACAGGACCAAACATTATAATCAGTAACCAACAACTAAATCCTGCATCTAGATATACTTGCCCATCACTTAGTTTGCCCACCACATCTTAGTTTTGCTACATTCAGAAAAGGAGGAAATGTGACTAAAGTCACACTGAAAACTTCCAGTGCCTTGAACTTAAAATGTTCACTGATTCGGAATTACCACCACTTATCTCTTCTATGGCCCCTGAATGATCTTTTCTTCTAATTTTTAAATAGTTCAAAACTATCCATGGGTAGCAGTGGCCCAAATGCTGCTCACCTTACTTACATGGAAAGTCCTAGTCATTGACTTCAGGAGGACTTCCTGCATGAATGAGTAGGATTCTTATTTCCAGCAGATACTACCAGCTCTACAGCATGATCCTGGTCTGCCAAAGCCCAGATGATCTATCAAACAGATTGCATATAATCTAAATTTTAAAAAAAGATTCCAGGAAACATGCAATTTACTCTGAGCATCAGACAGTTTAATTCCAGAGATATATTACAATAATTAGTTAGGATACCATGGTATTTGCAATCTGATTGTGAGCTGAAACTGCAAAAATCAAAATACATACCTTACGTGTTGCACAACTCAGGGTAAAACTCTCACATGCAAGGTGGCATCTAGCTCGGTCACTGATGCATGGACTGGATTTATAAAATGCTCCCCATTCTGTGACAGAGCAAATAAGTGTGTAGCTACGTTTTTAAAAATACAAACTCTTACAGTGTTGCTTCAGGACAGGCAGGCTCAAGTGATAAACTCCTAGTGTATCCTGCATACTGCTGGCATGTTTGGAGCTGGTTGTTGTGGAAACCAAATCCCATAGACTCACAAGTCCTCTCACTCTCTCTCTGGCACACACTCAGAATTCTTGAACAGTTTGTTGTGAAATGCAATTTAAGAATTAAAAGCTAAATTTGATTTCACCACACCAGTAGAGTTTGCATGCATGAAGCGCTATCATTAAAAACTTGACTAGACATTTGTCCCTAATGTTTATAAAATGAAATAATGTTCTCCTTCAGTGATGTTTTTCTTCACACGATTATGCTAAATTGTCTTCAGTGTTGCTCTGCACAAGTGGGGGAATGTTCATTTAAAGAATAAAACAAACAATTTCTGATCTGGTCAGGACTTAAAGGGAAAATGCAATCACTGACTCATGGACTTAAATGGAACTACTTGTGTAAGTAAGGACTGATGTTGTGAGCAAATGTGTCAGAATCAAGACCAAAGGGAGTATTAAGTTGGCAGTAGGCCACATCCAGCTAGTTCCTGACCACTGCAACTCCCCTTGTATATAGAAATTAGACAATCATCTGACCTATAATAATTAAAAATAATTATGTGCATATTACAAATACACAGATTAAAGGTGTTATATAGCTGTTGTGCACATGTATACAGCAGAGCTTTGGAATCCAATGCTGTGCATACTACAAGCACACAGATGAAAGGTGTTGCCAGATGTTTTGCACACGTATGCAGGGGGGATTTTGCATTTGTGTACCACTGCATATAGCTGCTTCCCATGCTGTCACTTACCTGCATGCTACTGCTGCATCCCCAATGGTAATATAGTACCAATATATAACGGCATCAGCCCTTGGAGACAAACAGCTCAAGGTAAATCGTAGGGAGCGGGTTATACCTCTGCAGCCACAGCAGCTGGACAGTCACTGCTGGAGAGGAAGTGGTCTCAGGTAGGTAGTTTTGAGTTTTGTGGCAGAAACTGGTAACTCGGATTTGGGCCTCACACTAGCTTTCTGAGAGAGCAGGAACTCTCATCTCTCCCTACTCCCAGACAGCTACTGTGCTGTCAGCTAGCCTAGCCTTTCACCAGACCAAGGCAGCAGGGCAGGCTGGAGTTGTTGTCTCAGGGGCTAGGTATATGAGGCACTCCCTGCCTTCAGAGCAAGGAGAGAGCTGAAGTCACTGCTGGGGGAAAAGGGCCAGTAAGTGCGTTTTCTGAATACACCAAGGGGAGGCAATTTCAGAGACAAGGGAAGGAAAACGCTTTGTAGGGGGGAGGAATATCTGTATATATTTTTTAAAAGAATGCAATGGCCTATTGTTCATGGTGGCTCACTACACACTACATTTCAAATATTCAGTAAATAGGGAACTACATTTTTAAATAGCTGTTTATTTAGAAGGTCATGCAGTTTCACCAACCGTTGCCATACAAGAGTTGCATTACTATTACAGAATGAACACCATGTTTTCTTTCGGAGAAAGATTATTCAAAGTTTTTCTTTTTGGCAGAGTATCAAGTTGCAAGAAGATGCTTCCTGTATAACTAGGGTTGCCAACTGTCACAGAATCATAGAATATCAAGGTTGGAAGGGACCTCAGGAGGTCATCTAGTCCAACCCCCTGCTCAAAGCAGGACCAATCCCCAATTAAATCATCCCAGCCAGGGCTTTGTCAAGCCTGACCTTAAAAACTTCTAAGGAAGGAGATTCTACCACCTCCCTAGGTAACGCATTCCAGTGTTTCACCACCCTCTTAGTGAAAATTTTTTTCCTAATATCCAACCTAAACCTCCCCCACTGCAACTTGAGACCATTAGTCCTCGTTCTGTCCTCTTCTACCACTGAGAATAGTCTAGAACCATCCTCTTTGGAACCACCTCTCAGGTAGTTGAAAGCAGCTATCAAATCCCCCCTCATTCTTCTCTTCTGCAGACTAAACAATCCCGGTTCTCTCAGCCTCTCCTCATAAGTGATGTGTTCCAGACCTCTAATCATTTTTGTTGCCCTTCGCTGGACTCTCTCCAATTTATCCACATCCTTCTTGTAGTGTGGGGCCCAAAACTGGACACAGTACTCCAGATGAGGCCTCACCAATGTCGAATAGAGGGGAACGATCACGTCCCTCGATCTGCTCGCTATGCCCCTACTTATACATCCCAAAATGCCATTGGCCTTCTTGGCAACAAGGGCACACTGCTGACTCATGTCCAGCTTCTCGTCCACTGTCACCCCTAGGTCCTTTTCCGCAGAACTGCTGCCTAGCCATTTGGTCCCTAGTCTGTAGCTGTGCATTGGGTTCTTCCGTCCTAAGTGCAGCACCCTTACTGAACCTCATCAGATTTCTTTTGGCCCAATCCTCCAATTTGTCTAGGTCCCTCTGTATCCTATCCCTGCCCTCCAGCGTATCTACCACTCCTCCCAGTTTAGTATCATCCGCAAATTTGCTGAGAGTGCAATCCACACCATCCTCCAGATCATTTATGAAGATATTGAACAAAACCGGCCCCAGGACCGACCCCTGGGGCACTCCACTTGACACCGGCTGCCAACTAGACATGGAGCCATTGATCACTACCCGTTGAGCCCGACAGTCTAGCCAACTTTCTACCCACCTTATAGTGCATTCATCCAGCCCATACTTCTTTAACTTGCTGACAAGAATACTGTGGGAGACCATGTCAAAACCTTTGCTAAAGTCAAGAAACAATACATCCACTACTTTCCCTTCATCCACAGAACCAGTAATCTCATCATAGAAGGTGATTAGATTAGTCAGGCATGACCTTCCCTTGGTGAATCCATGCTGACTGTTCCTGATCACTTTCCTCTCATGTAAGTGCTTCAGGATTGATTCTTTGAGGACCTGCTCCATGATTTTTCCGGGGACTGAGGTGTGGCTTACTGGCCTGTAGTTCCCAGGATCCTCCTTCTTTCCTTTTTTAAAGATTGGCACTACATTAGCCTTTTTCCAGTCATCCGGGACTTCCCCCGTTTGCCACGAGTTTTCAAAGATAATAGCCAATGGCTCTGCAATCACAGCCGCCAATTCCTTTAGCACTCTTGGATGCAACTCATCCGGCCCCATGGACTCGTGCACGTCCAGCTTTTCTAAATAGTCCTAACCACCTCTTTCTCCACAGAGGGCTGGCCATCTACTCCCCATGCTGTGATGCCCAGTGCAGCAGTCTGGGAGCTGACCTTGTTAGTGAAGACAGAGGCAAAAAAAGCATTGAGTACATTAGCTTTTTCCACATCCTCTGTCACTAGGTTGGCTAATCACACAAACCCCAAATCCTTGCCCCGACCCCTGCCCTGAGGCCCGGCCCCTCCTCAAAGGCCCACCCGCTCCATCCCCCCCTACCTCCATCACTCGCTCTCCCCCACCCTTACTCACTTTCACCAGGCTGGGGCACGGTGCTGGGGTTTGGAGTGTGGGAGGGGGCTCCGGGCTGAGCCTTGGTCAGGGGCTTGGGGTACAGGAGGAGGTGTGGGCTCTGGGAGGGAATTTAGGTGCAAGAGGGGGCTCTGAGCTGGGGCAGGGGGTTGGCATGCACGAGGGGGTGCAGGATGTAGTCTCTGGCTGGGAGGTGCTTACCTTGGGTGGCTCCAGGTTAGCGGTGCAGCAGGCTAAGGCAGGCTCCCTGCCTGCCCTGGCCCCGCACCACTCCCGGCTGCCATGTCCGGCCCCTGGCGGGGAGCAGGGGGCTGCCCGCGCTTGCAAGCACTGTCCCTGCAGCTTCCCTTGGCTGCAGTTCCCAGCCAATGGGAGCTGTGGAGTCGGTGCTTGTGGCGTGGGCAGCATGCAGAGACCCCTTTCTCCCCCAGGGGCTGCAGCGAGGGACGTGCCAGCTGCTTCCGGGAGCAGTGTGGGGCCAGGGCAGGCAGAGAGCCTGCTTTAGCACCACTGTGCTGCTAGACTAAAATCTCCCATATTGGCTTCAGGAGCCTCCAAGAGATATGGCCTGATTCTGGGAGACTCCCGGCAAACCAAGGAGGATTGGCAACCCTATGTATAACCTAGGACCAATTGTTTCTAGATCTTATACTGAAAGAATTTTCTCTTTACTTACATTTACAAATGGAAGACTATTCATATTCAAAGATGGGTTTCAAATGCAGTGGGTGAGCATATGGTGACTACTGACTAGTAGTTCCTTAAAATTCAGAGGTCAATTTTTGTGTTGACGTGCACCGGGTGCATGAAGCTGCAATTTGGAAGCAAGAACCGATTCCCACAACTGAAGAAATGCTCCATGTCATGTAGCAACTGTTTCTACCAAGCTTGATTCAAAATGGGGTTTTCACTGACTCAAACTATTACCGCAGTCCAGAGGAATTGTTTTTACTAGTCCATGGGTAAGTCATCAGGGGTTTTACAGCAAGAAGCAGTTCTTCATCTGCTCTAGCAGTGCACCAGCACATTATAACAACATGTTTTGCAAGAGCATAATCGGAGCCAGAGCATAAGATGCCATAATAGCTTTGGACAAGGATAGCAACTTCAGATGTTTCTCTCCCTTCAAAAGGGGTCGAAGGGAGGAATCTTTAGGACACTAGAGAAGTACACATCTGTCGTCTCCAATTGTATTTTCCAGTGGGAGGAAAATAATGGAGCAGAAGTTATCTAGACTAATACCAGTGCCAACATGGAAAAGTGTGGGAAAGTGTCTTGACATTAGGATTTAGGACTCCAGTGACATCTCACTCTCTGCACAGGGGGTTTCTTTCAGAAAAAGACAAAGCAAAGTGCAGCTTCCTAACTGCTCAAATTCAGAGTCTTCTGAGACACCCGCAGTGCCCTGTGTCAGAACAAGGTGTGACTTCCATGGATTAAAAACAATTTCTAATTGGGAATGAAGGTGCCCAGCAGGAATGGTTTGGGAAAGTCCAGGGACTAACTAGCCCGCACTTAAATCTCCTCTCAAACGTCACCAAAATTGTACTACACTGAACAGCTAGCGGTTTCCAAAAAGTTACCGAGAGAAGACACTGAAGCCTACTCCATATGGGTAATGATGATGTCCCACCAAGCAGCTCT